AGCCATGATCGCGAGCAGTTCCGCCATGCCCGCTGAGCAGGAGAATCGGGGGACCCTCACTAGAGCGCTTCCCGTTTCCGCCGCGGGAGGGCGAGCGTCGAGCTGGAGACGCGAATAGCTTGTGATTGGTACTTCACAAAATTTAATAAACATAATGTCTCGCCACTTGCTTTTCAACAAGAATTTCTTGCACTGCAAGAAAAGTACAAGACTTATCACCAATTTTACACTGATGGAGCCAAGTCCTCAACGTATGTAGGCTCATCTGTTCATTCAAATTCGTTTACACATGTGACACGGCTAAATAATATCGCTAGCATTTTTACTGCCGAGCTATATGGCGTGCTCTCAGCACTTGACTATATTATCCGGAGCAAAGTGATGAAAGCAGTTCTTTTTGTAGACTCCCGGAGCGTTGTTACTGCAGCATGTTCACTCAATCCAACCAACAACAAGCTAACTCAACTGGTACGTGCTAAAATTCAACTGGGCCTCAGAGATGGGAAGGATATTAGGTTTTGTTGGATCCCGAGCCATGTGGGCATTGCAGGCAACGAGGCTGCAGATAGACTGGCCGCCTCCTCGCGTAACCTCTTACCATCACACGCATGCATTCCATACCAAGACCTAACAAGGTTCATACGGCTTGCACTTCTAAAACTGTGGCAGTCTGAGTGGGATTTGGCTGATAACAACAAACTTCATATCATCAAGCCAAGCATCGGTACCTGGGAAAGCTCCTTTAACCGGAGCCGTTTCCGTGAGGTTCTTCTGTGCCGGTTGAGGATCGGGCACACCTTCCTCACCCATCGATACCTACTTGTTGGTGAGGAACCACCGGAGTGCGACCACTGTGGAGACACTTTGTCCGTTCTACATATTTTTCTTTGCCCTGGTCTTCTACAACAACACAAGCTCTTCTTTCCTGAACTTTTCAAGTACAGTATCCCTTTCCATCCTACCCTTTTCCTAGGGGAGCAACCTCTAATATCAATTGACCGTCTCTTAGCTTTTCTAGAACATATAGCAATTTTACACAAACTATAGTGGAAATACCTTCTTTGGTACACCGTTTCTAGTTGAATTTAATTTACCTAGTTTGGCGCAGTATGGCCATCGTTGCTCTTGCGCCATAAAACCCGCAAACAACAACAACAACAATCGTCACTGCTGGCCTGTTCTCGCTTCGATCAGCTTTAAATTGATGAGCTCAACCATCTTTTAACATCCTATATTCTCACTGCAGCGTCACTCTCAATCCCTCCGTCATCTGGAGAGCTCCGTAGACGACCGAAGCCATGGTGGAATGAAGACTGTAAAGGGAGTCGGAAACAGCAAAACAAAGCTTGGAGTGTTCTAAGAGGTTATCCAACTCGGGATAACCTGATATTTTTTTGAAAGGTAAAGCTCGTGCTAGGTACATTCGTCGCAAAGCGAAACGCGAGAGCTGGCAAAAATATGTGTCCTCTATCAATAGTGGTACTTGTTCCAAGGAAGTATGGGACAGGATTCATAAAGTAAATGGCTCATATCATGCTATCACTATTCCCCTTCTTTCCAGAAATGGAAAATGCCCAAGCAATCTTGAAGAGCAGGGCAAAATCCTTGGCGAGCATTTTGAATTCATTTCCAGCTCGCAGCATTACTCGCCTGCTTTTCTGCAACATAAAAAGAAAGCTAAAAGTATGGTACTGAAAACATCCGGTGGTGAACGCGAAGCTTATAATGCCCCCTTTACCTTACACGAACTGAACATAGTGCTCCAAAACTAAGTCATCGGCTCCTGTTTCAGATGGTATTCATTACTATATGCTTCAACATCTCCATCCTGCCACTTTTGATATTGTTTTATACCTTTTTAATCGTATTTGGTTCGAGGGCTACTTTCCATTGGACTGGAGAATGGCAACAATCATACCCATACTCAAGCCCGGTAAGGAGCCATCCTGTGCGGCTAGTTATAGGCCTATCGCTTTGACTAGCTGCTTTGGAAAGACTCTTGAACGAATAATTAATAGAAGATTGATGCATTTCCTTGAACTAAACAAACATCTAGATGTGAACCAATGCGGCTATCGTTCGTCTCTGTCCACTCTTGACCATTCGGCTGGAGACAGTCGTTCGTGAGGCCTTCGTTCATAGACAACATTGCCTATCTGTATTTTTCGACCTCGAAAAAACCTACGATACAGCCTGGCGTTTTGGTACATTAAGGGACTTTTACCTTTCGGTACCCCATTACCATCTTTTATCTAATCACTGTGCACGTTAAGTCCGCCGCGCTCCAGAGCGCAAGAGTATGGCGCTCCGTTCACTAAACGGACAGGAGCGCCTCCGGAGACTGACACTTGCGCGCGCTCTTCATGCACCTAGTATTTTTCGGAGTGCGAGTGACTTCGCGCTCCGTGACGTCACCAACGTTATGCTCGTTTCGGTAGTTTCGGTTTGGGATTGGGGTTTGTGGCTTGCTTCGACTAGTTTCGACCACGTGCATTTGGCAAAACGAAAATTAGCGCGCCGACTGGCGGAGACGGCGGGAATATTGCAATAAACTAACAGCGATAAAAGCGAAACCTGGCGAAACGGCGGGATTCTCCGGAAACTGAAACCACAGAAAGGAAACTGATCGGGTTGTCTCGTCATCTCCTTCTCCTGCAAATCCCTTACTCGTACCTCCGCGATTTTTCAAGATGAGCCAAGGGATGGAGCATGTTTTTTACATGATAGACGGCACCGAATATGGTAAGTAGAACGATTTCGTTCCATTTCCTGGGGTCCGGTTTTGGTCACCGCGAGATCTAATTCACGTCTCACGGAGCCAGCTGTATGTTTCATATTTCGCACGCGCTAGCAGGCAAATTCGTCTGCTAGCGCGTGCGAAGAAAAGAGTTTGTGTGCTGCGAAGCGTCATCTGCAGACGGAAATGAAACAAGTCACCGTACGTAGTCTGCTAAATGACCGACAAAAAGTTGATCGTCTGCTGCGGCGAAGTTCGGGATCTGTTCGAAGTGATTTTGACAACCCGTGCTTCGCAAATTTTAAGTTGTTTTGCTGCAGTACAAGCTGAAATTCACCGGTGGATAAAGAAATTGGCTCAAGGCTAGCACATCAGCGCGAGACCCCTTGCCATTTGTGTATATACTGTGACACCACGTCCAATCGACAGCAAAGAAAGCTCTCGCTCTCACCTTGACCAAAATCGAACCACTGTTACGAGCTACTGAAGCGAGATCCGCGAACCCTTGGCCGTGTGTAGCTGACCGGCGAGTTTGTGCTCACACTTGCGTACTCCGATGAAGACCGTCTTTTTCAAGATACATAGATAATAAATATGTCTTATTGAAAATAAGGGCGCATACACGCAAAATTCGGGAATTGACTTGCGTATTGTCAAGTTACGTACGACATAACTCAAAATAAAAATTGAAGTTATATTCAACATAAGTGGTGAAGTGCAATCCTGGAGTGATGAAGTGCAATACTTTATTTACAAGCATTTATTCAGAACTTACATACTCAGGTACAATGGTCAGTATTATGAAATATGTTATAAATCACAAGGATTGAAAAACGTATATACTCAAGTGCATTGGTCAGCGTTATGAAACATGTTTTGAAATACTTGGATTAAAAAAATTTAAAAATCAGAACTCTGAACAAATTGCGTCTTTCTTCTCAGCAGCAAATGGATCAATTTCATCATCATGCGCCCTGGCTGCAGCCGATTAGGGCTTCCGTCACCTTTGGCGTCATCAAAGCTAGCTGGGTGCTTGAGGATAAAATTGTGCGACATACATGGCATGACACATGCACCATTTTTAAAATTAGGCTATCCCGCCCCATGTCTAGGTACCTCATGCGCCTGAACTTTCCCTTTAGTCGTCTAAAGGCACCCTCGATAACTGGGCGTGCTGCGCTAGGACTGTTATTAAATATCAATTGCTGGCAAGTGTATCAACCATCATCCCTACATGGTTTTATTCATAACACTTTTAGAGGACATGCAGTCTCATGGGGAGGGAGGTAGCTATGGGGGCACTGTCATTAAGCATTAGAAGGAAAGTATGTGGTATTCTCACAGCTCTCAAAGTGCTAAAGCCCCCATTAGATGGGGGCTTGAGCATAAGCATGAATGCAGGATCAACATTTCATTGGGTTTTAAAATGGCCCCCAAAATGAACTACTCGTAACTAAATGAAATTATCCTCTGCAATATATGTCGGACCTTGACTCAACGATTGACATAACGAAACAGTTTATAGCGTGAATATTTTCCTACAACACAAGCAGGTCAAAAAGCGACGGAAATCTCGCGTCTTGGCGATCCCAACTATAGGCAATAGAACATCTAACTTGCTGTCTCACACACTAGCTTGTGCGATAGATCTGGAAGCACGAAAAACAAGGCGAGGAACGAGATTGTTTTCGCGTGCATTCTCTAGAAACGTTTTTTTGCAAAACTGTTAATAGCTGATGTGTTTACTTTACTCGTTGCTCGCTAAATTGCTTACATTCATTTCAGCCTTTAATTTCAAATCTTGATAGCTTTGGTTAAGAATTCACAACTAAATGAAAGAAGCATGCTTTTTTGTTTTAGTTTGTGGAAACATTTTAGTTAACTGTCATTCTTATTGCAATGCCTTTCATCAGCAGCCTATTTCTGGCCCAGTTCCATCATGGTGCTGATGATAACGATGTAACAGTAACACTGAGGTGGAATATTATTTTTTAACTACATGCTGACAGCAAGATCCCATGCGCAGCACAGGATGTTTTGTTGAGCAGGAAGGCACATAATGCAAGCATATCCCTGAATTTGCTGTAAGGAAGCTCTCAAAAGTGAGTAGGTCTGCTTCAAGAACATGGCGCACATTTTATTTTTCTGGACTATCCAAGTGCAATACTGCATACATTTTTTGCCAACATCGACAACCGAGGTACTTGGATAGAAACACAAGTGTAATCAACTATTAATATGAAGTACATAGATAAAAATTTGTTCACAACCGTGAGCAAATCACATCTCTTTTCTGAGCAGCGGAGGGCTCAATTTCATCGTTGTGCACCCTTGGCGGCCGACGAGGGTTTTCGTCGTCCTTGTCGTCGTCAAAGCCAGCTGGGTGTTTCAGAATGAAATTGTGTAACATGCATGCCGCACATACCATTTTTGGGATTAGGTCGTCACGACCCATGTCAAGGAACTTCAGGCGCCGGAACTTCCCCTTTAGGCGCCCGAAGGCCCTTTCAATGACTGAGCCTGCTGCGCTCAGTATGTTATTGAATTTTACTTGCTGGGGAGTAAGTTTGCCATCATCTCTATATGGTTTCATAAGGAATATTTTCAGTGGATACGCCGAGTCACCTAGAACATGCTTGTCTTCAGGAAGGCAGACGAGAAAGTCATCGAGGCCAGACATGGCGTACACACGGCCATCGTGCATCCTGCCTGGTTTCCCTACACAGATGTGTGAGAAGCACATGTCTTGATCACAACAGGCTTGCAAGATGACTGAGTGCACGTCATGCCTGTTGTAGAAGGCAGATTGGTCATCTTGTGGTGCTTTAATGTTTATGTGGCACCCATCCACAGCACCTACTACACCTGGAAATCTCCAGCTTGCCCTTAAGGTTATTTCGACTCCATCAATGTCAGTCGGCCAGACAACCTCTCCTTGGGCACAATCCGTCCAAAGACAGATCATCTGCTCCACGACAAAGATTAATGTGCCCTTATTCACACCAAAGCGATCAGCAACACCCCTGTAAGACTCTTGGTTGCCAAGGAGCCAAGGCGTCATCAGCATCTTTGTCTTCAACAGGATCCTGAGGGTGTGTTCGCTCTTTTTCCGTCGCGTAACATCATAGAGGAGCTGTATAAAGGAATACCAACACTTGAACCAAAACAGAGTAAAAATGTTTGCTATTTTATTCCTTCTTCATGACTTGCAGACAAGCCATCACACTGGGGTCTCTCGCAGATAGTGTCATGCAGGCACGTAGAAGATACGAAAGGAGAAATATCGACACTTGAAACAAAACAGAGTACAAATTTTCGCTATTTTATTTCTTTCTCATGACTCTCAGACATGCCATCACACTGGTCTCGGAGATACTTTCATGCTGGTCTGTAGAAGACATGAAAGGAGAGATACCGACACTTGAACCAAAACAGAGTAGAAATTTTTGTTATTTTAGTCCCTTTTCATAATTTGCCGGCATGCCATCACACTGGGGTCGGAGATAGTTAGGTCCCTAGAAGGGACGAAATATTTTGAAGTGGGAGTAAAGTAAAGGATGCACAACTCCAGATAGTGCCTACTGAGGCCTCTTCCCGACTGTTGAGAGTTGCTTTTAGTAAATGTTTGGTGCAATTTACCAAGCGAAGCAGCATCAGTTAAAAATAAAGTCGAAAATTGAAGAGGGGCAGATACAACTCGGTTAAGTATTTATCTTTAAACTTGCCCCAGTACATGCAATACATGTTAGATCATAAGTGTTAAAGCTATACAAAAAATACATACTTCAAATGTTGGCCTGTACATTCGAAAATGCTCCTTGAACTCCAGGTCTGTGTACGGGGGGACAACGTTGCAGACATAATCACGAATGCCTTGGCTTGGTGAATCTGCTGGTTCTGGAACCCGAAGTTGTGGGAGTAATATAGATAGGCATGATTTTAGTAATGGGGGATTGTGTTTTTAATATAATCAGGGCACGTCATAAACGTCAAGTGCTCAGGTCGCCAGAGCACAGCTGATCGACCGCAATTAAACGACAGTACGTCTCATCTTTATTAGCAGTGGTGCGTACTGGCCTCTGTTTACGTGTCATCTGCCTTTCTGTGGCTTCACGACTTTACATCAATATCAACGCTAAACCAACACGAACGCACGATCAGTAGTCTCTTGTGTTCTAAAATTGCCCTAGAAATTTTTAAATGTTTTAAAATTGCCCTACTATGACAATTGACTGTGCAACTGACATCATGAGATAGCTTCCCTCGGCGCGATTACCAAGACGCCGCTAGACAGCAGCCGACAAGCCGACGGTAATCTCACGTCAGAGGGGAAAAGTTTGAAAGAACGGTACACGATAAAAGTCGAGTAATGATCGCTTACCAAAAGCGATTTGCGCGCCTTTTGTAAGTCAGCTGTCTGCGCATAGATAGGCTGTGCGTATGCCTTACCCGAGAAAACGTCATCCAGGCACTCCAAAATAAATCTTCGGCGTCGTTTTTGTAGTGATGACACGACAGAACTTACTCGCGTGCCCCGCGGCAACGCGTCCATACTAGTGCGCATGCTCGGGGTTATCTTTAGTTCAAGAGAAGTAATAATAAAACACTTGGGTTCCGGACTCCGGTGTGGCTGGGCGCTCCTTCCCCGCGAGACATGGTGTCAGAAGTGGGATCCGTCCCGGGGGAGCGACGCAGCGAGTGAGCCGTCGGCGTGGCGCATCCTGCAACGCCCGCGATGGCGGACGAAGACGCTAAGCCTACGCAGTTCTGCGCCGCCGGTATCCAGCCGCCTCCGAAGTTCGACTTTTCGAACCCCGGCGAGTGGAAGGAATGGGTTTTCCTGTTTGACGACTACTGCTACGCTTCTGGGCTCTACCAGGCGCCAGGCAAAGTGCAAGTCAGGACACTGCTGTACGCCATGGGCTCCCGTGAGGCTCGACGACTCCTGGACACGTTGGCCTTGACAAGCGACGACTGGTGCTCTCTTCAAGCGGTGAAGACGGAGCTCACCGACCACTTCATACACCCGGTCAACGAAATCTATGAAAGCGTGCACTTCCACCGTCGCGTCCAGGCTGAAGGCGAGTTAGTAGATGACTTTTACACTGCACTACGTACGCTCGTCAAAAAGTGCAATTACGCCCCTGCGGAAGTTGAAGAACGCCTCGTCCGCGATAGATTCGTCGTCGGTCTTCTGGACTCTAAGCTGGTAGACAAGCTATGTCGCATGCCAAAGCTCACGCTCGAAAACGCGAGACTTCAGGCCCATACTCACGAAGACGCCGTGAAGGCCCGGTCTGAAGTTTTCCAGAAGGAATTAAATCCTGCCATTGTGGTCTCCGAAGCAAAAGTCCGAAAATGTCTTCCGAAGTCACAACGGCGTTGCGACTCGGCGGGGGAAGGCGCGACGAGGACTCCCAAGCCTCGCTCAAGCAACGGACGCTGCAGGTTCTGCGGCAGGTCACCTCACCCCCGCTCAGACTGTCCGGCAAAAGAGGCAAGATGCAGGTGGTGCGAGAAAGTTGGACACTTCGAAGCCGTCTGCGAAAAAAAAAGCCATGGGATCTGTTGAGCTGCACACAGTTGCGGCAGGCGCCCGTACCAGAGCCGAGTTCGCAACCGTGGCCGTCAACGGACACAACGTGAACTTCAAAGTGGACTCTGGAGCGGAGGTGACCGTGGTGTCGAGTTCATTACCGAAAAAGCTTCGTGCACCTGTAGGTGAGCTCACGGGCCCAGGAAACCACCCCCTGAAAGTACTGGGCACGTTCCCCGCAACGCTGCAATGGAGGGACAAGTCGACCATGTAGGACATTTACTTCATGCCTTCATAACACCCCCCTCTTCTCGGCTTCTCAGCAATACAAGCGCTGGGCGTCATTCAGTTTGTCGACAATGTGGCGACACCAGCGGTGCTGCGGAGAAACAGGCTTTTCGACGGTCTAGGGGAGCTAAAGGAGGAGTACGTCATCCGGCTTCGACCTGGTGCCAAGCCCTTCGCTCTAAGCGTGCTGAGGAGGGTCCCGATCCCGCTGCGCGACGTCGTTCATGGTGAGCTCAAGAAGCTAGAGTCTGAACGAGTCATCCGCAAGGTTGACCGCCCCACAGACTGGTGCGCGGGCATGGTCGTCGTTCCGAAGACAGGAGGAGGCTACCGCATCTGCGTAGACCTCACGCGCCTCAACGAAGTCGTACTGAGGGAACGTCACATTTTACCTTCGGTTGAGAACATCCTCCGACGTCTCGGGCAAGCATAGGTTTTCTCGAAGCTGGACGCCACTGCAAGCTTCCACCAAGTGAGGCTTTTTGAAGAAAGTAAAGAGCTGACGACGTTCATAACCCCGATGGGAAGGTTCTGTTTCCGCAGAGTGCCTCTTGGCATCTGTTCAGCGCCAGAGTACTTCGAGCGCTAGATGAGTCGCATTCTAGAGGGACTGGAAGGAGTTGTGAGCATGATCGACGACATTTTCGTCTTCGGCGCATCAAAAGGCGAGCACGATCGTCAGCTCCAGCAAGTGCTGCAAAGGCTCGACAAGGCAGGCGTCAAGCTGAAGAAGAAGTGCAGTTTCGCTTCCTCAGAAGTCAAGTTTCTCGGCGTGTTGGTCAGCGCGAGAGGAATCAGCCCGGAGCCCGAAAAGATCGAGGCCCTGCAGAAGTTGCCGATACCCTCGGACGTTAGCGGGGTACGAAGACTGCTAGGAATGGCGAACCATGTGGGGCGCTTCATCCCACACCTCTCGGACGTTACGGCGCCGATCAGAGAACTGCTGCAACAGCGCAACTCGTGGTACTGGGGACCAAGCCAGCAAGCTGCCTTTGTGAAGCTAAAGAGCATGCTTAGCTCTCATATCTGCTTGGCCAAGTACGACCCGTCCTACCCAACAGTAGTTTCAGCTGATGCGAGCTCATACGGACTCGGGGCCGTCATGCTTCAAGATCAGCCCTCTGGCGAGAGACGAGCAGGGGCCTATGTATCAAGGGCTCTCACGACCACCGAAACTCGCTACAGCCAGACCGAAAAAGAAGCCCTGGCCGTAACGTGGGTGGTCGAGCGTCTCGATCAGTTTTTGAGAGGCATTGACTTCCAAGTCGAAACGGATCACCGCCCCCTCGTCACGCTCTTGGGATCTGCAGAGTTGGATCTGATGCCACCTCGAATTCAGCAACTACGCATCCGCCTCATGCGCTACCAGTTCACCGTTCTTTATGTCCCCGGCAAACTTTTAGCTACGGCGGACACCCTGTCAAGGGCCCCGGTACAGGAACTCGATCAGCACTGCGAACGTCAGGTGGACTCCATAGAACTCTTTGCCGGCGAAGTGGTTTCAGCAGCCGCTGATTTCGTGTCATCCCGCCTGGAAGCCCTATGAAAGCACCAAGCGGAGGACGGTATCTGCTCGGGCTTGCAACGCTTCTGTGAAAAGGGATGGCCAGAACATGTGTCCAGAGTTCCTGTTCATCTAAGAGAGTACTGGAAGGAACGTGGGAACATCATCGTGTGCAAAGGCTTATTACTCAAAGACCGCCGCATCTTCATTCCGCGCTCGCTGAGACACGAGATACTGCAGCTGATACATGAAGGCCATCAGGGCATCGGACGCTGCAAGGCAAGAGGGACGCAGTTTGGTGGCCTACTCTAAACAGCGAAATAGAGCAAATCGTGACAGCCTGCGAGCGGTGCGCCCAGACAACAGTACAGCGCTCCAAGCCACTCATCAGCGCACCGACCCCCAGTCGTCCGTGGCAGAGAGTCGGAGCGGATCTATTCGAGCTCGAGGGGAGACACGTGCTCGTCGTGGACTATTACTCCCGCTTCCCAGAGGTCATCAGCTTGACGTCGACGACGTCAACGTCCGTCGTCGCAGCAGTCAAGAGCACATTCGCCCGGTTTGGGATCCCCGACGTGCTGGTATCGGACACCGGGCCGCAGTTCTCTTCGAGACAGTTCGCCGAGTTCGCCCAGAGCTACGGTTTCCAGCATGTCACGAGCAGCCCACGCTACCCACGGGCGAATGGGGAAGCGGAGCGTATGGTGCGGACCATGGAAGAGCTGTTCTACAAGTCAAGGGACCCGCACATGGCCCTCCTGGTGTATCGAAACACCCCTGGAGTGACCGGTTACAGCCCGTCTCAACTGCTAATGGGCCGACGGTTGCAGACAAAGGTACCGAAGATGCCAGAGACGTTGCAGCCGGGTTGGCCATCACGTTGAAACTTCAAAAGGAAAGACGGGGAGGCCCGAAGACGCCAACGAAAGGACTTCAATCGCCGTCACGCCGCTCGCGAACTTCGCCCGCTGTCCGTAGGCATACAGGGGTAAATTACTTTCAAAATGTAATTTAATTACAATTACAATTACTTAGCTCCAAAAGTAGTTTAACTACAATTACAATTACTACTACGCAAAAGTAGTTCATTGCAATTACAAATTACTTTTTAAAAGTAATGCAATTACTTTACAATTACTTATTTCTGAGAGTTACCCCCCACATTGGGCCATATAACTGTAAACGAGTTATATGGCCGCTGTATAAATGTCACGCATTGTACTTTCCTTTTATGAAATTTGTTAAATGGATTATAGAACTAGTAATGAACTCCTGCGTTCATATATTCTCAAAACATAAAAAATGGCGACAAAATTCCCAGGTGCGAGGTGAATCTCCTTAGAGCTTATGCAAATGGTATCCAAGTCAAACCAAGAAAAAATAAACTTAAAAATAATACAAGGAAACAAATATGCGACAGTACTGGTATCATAAAACTCACGTAAAAATGGCTAATAAGAGAAACTTGTAAACGACGTCAAACATTTAAAGGATACGACAACTTATGAAAACATTGCAGCCACGATGATTCGCTGCCTCTCCCTGTCTCTGGACTTGTAACATGCCGGATGTGGGTAACCGTAGCACACGAACTGTGGTCGCTTCCACAAAACTAGTGTCACAATAGCAGCAACTCTATTGCCAGGGATTCTGGGTTAATTCAGTGCACGGTAACACCCAAAAAGCTCCTGAGGTAAATAATAAATTTAGGATCGTCATGTAGCTAATCATTAGGATAGCAATGATTGTATCGATGTTGTGCGTCTCATAAAGAAGACCGATTTGAATTTAGCATGGCAAGAACAACCTCGAAAAATTCATGATACACTGCAAACGACTTTATTTTCGCGAATTTCGCGAATCGCCTACAATTCGCGAAAACAAATGTAAACACATTGGAATCTATATCGCGACCGCACCGCGTCGCGAAAATTAGAATCCGCGAATTCTTCCAAAACTGCGGCCTCTTGGACGCCTCGATTTCACGATTTACCTGAGCGTGTTTCAGCTGGAAGATATAGACGAGCTATTATTATTATTTTTTTATAACTGTAAGTATTATTCGAAGTAAATAGAAAGTTGCCTACCTGCAAGTGTTTCCGCAAATTGGAGGTCGCCTTTCGGTTTATTGAATTTGTTTTCAGAAACGGTCCGGAGAGTTTGCTCCTCACGATTATAGTTTTTTTACATTGGTGCTAATCTGTTTAAAGAATTTTTCGCAACAAGGCCCCGGCAGCCTTTCCTTTTCCATTGTAGATAAGACTGTTGCAGCTTTTCAATGCAAAGCGGCACTGCGCGCCTCGGGGCGGTTCCACAGGCCAAGACGAGAGGACAACGCGTGGAGGGTCACGATAGAGGTGTAAAAACAAAGTGCAAGCCAAGCCCTCTATAAAAAAAGAAGCCTTCAACGAACAACAAATGCAAAAACAAGCTCCCCACAGCTAAAGCCGCGATTTGTAAGTTTTGGAATCTCGTCCAATCAGGCTGACAAACGGTTGAAAGGGTTAGGTAGAGCGAACACTAAATAATGAAGATTTATACAAAAAGGTAGACGAGGATTGGGAGAAGGAAGAGCAGTGTAGCAAGAACAGTTCGAAGTAAGGCAGGGTGAGTCGTGTTAATGAGACCTGCTGCTTCTTTGCTTCTTCGCCTCAATGTTAGAGTAGCACGACTTACTGTTAGTGGTATCAACATACGAGATAGAAGAGAAGGACGTAAAAAACTCATAAAGAAAAGAGAAGAATTTCATGAACAAAAAAGTCCCCAAACTTGACTGAAATATGTAAGCGAATATGCTAGCGGCGAAGACGCGTAAGGAGAACCTCGAACCTCCCCGCCTCGACCGGATGATGTGATCGGAGCCAACCAGCTCGACTTCGACCTCCGATGCCCCCGTGTGAGAATGAGAAATAAGAAAGACCCCTAAAAGCAGGAGCAACAGGAAGCAAACGAGACGAAGAGTCAAATTCAACTACGACAGGAACGAAAACGGACACGAATGTAGCCCTCATTTATCAAATTATTTTTCAAATTCTTCATTAAATCGTTTTACAGTCTACAAAATCCTTCATTCCGTTCTATCCCAGCCTTTCTTTCCCATCCCTCTTTTCCATTTTTTTTAGCAGGTTGGGAGACGCTCTCTCCCCTGTCGCTTTGGCTGCGCTGTCGTCTCCGTGGCCAGAGGGGAAAAGCGCCGCCGCCACAAAATCTTGCAAAAGTAATTGTAATTGTGCCTGAAATTTAGCAATTACTGACGCTAGAAAGTAATTAAATTACAATTACAATTCCTTTTAGCCAAAAGTAATTATTACAATTACAAATTACCAGGAAAAGTAATTAAATTACAGTAATTTAATTACTGTAATTGAATTACTACCCAAGTATGTCCGTAGGAGAGGACGTGTGGCTACAAGACATGCAGTGCCGAGCAACAGTCCTCAGTCCAGCGAAGCGGCCGCGCTCCTACGTGGTCGAGACCGGGACAGGAGTCCTGCAACGCAACCGCCGGCACCTGGTACCATTCGATGCGTCTCCGGCGAGCTTCGACGCTCCGGATCCCGGCGGTTCGACCCATGAGACTACGGCTCCAGCCAGTCCGGCGATCTCAACGGCAAAAGCAAGTCCGGGTGCAGGGAGCCAACAGCAGCCGACCGCAGTTGAGCCTGCACCAACAGCAGCCCCGACGAACTTGACGAACTCCCCTTCAACATCAACGTCGACGGACGATAAGCCGATAAGAGTGACTCGGTCGGGCCGCCAAGTTAGGCGACCCGTACGTTTGGACTTGTAAAACTTTGAAGGGGGATGTAGTGATGACACGACAGTTCTCACTCGCGTGCCCCGCGGCAACTCGTCCATGCTAGTGCGCATGCTCGGGGTTATCTTTAGTTCGAGAGAAGTAATAATAAAACACTTGGGTTCCGGACTCCGGTGTGGCTGGTCGCTCCTTCCCCGCGAGACAGTTTTCATCGACGTCGGTCCTCCAGAAATTGACCAAACTCGTCGCGATCATTTCACAGTGTGGCGGACGACAACAGCAAGCGCCGGAAATACGCAGGAACAGGAAAGGTGCGGGGCGCTCCCTGGCGGCTGCTGCGGCCGTTTAGTAGTCACACTCCGAGTACGAAACTCGGAGCGTCGGAGTAGGAGCAAAGGAGTGTCGACTTAACGCGCCCACTGGCTACTAAAGCCTATTTTTTCTCTCTAGACCTTTTTCAGCAATAGTCTCGTTTTTGGCGCTCTATGGCCTTAGTGGCTTTTGCGCCATAAACACCAAAGCAGCCAACGTTAAAGGGCAACTCCGCTTCATTTTTGGTTTTGAAAAAACAATGCAGTCCTCTTCAGTATCGTCTAGGAAGACCACATGTCAAATATTACGACGCAGCTCTGTCTAAATGTTTCTTAAACGGTCCGGCAAACTTTCCAACTCGCCAAGTTGCCGAAATCGGCTGACTTGAGCGGGCGAATTCAGGCGCAGCCAACAGCGCAGTCAAGGCTACGGCATGGGCGGAGCAAACATTGGGCTAAACGCCATCTACATGGCCCCCTTTTGCTTGTTTTTACTTCTCCGATCGAGCGTAGCGCGTGACGTCAGCAACGTTGCCTCTCGGCGCTCAGCGGTGTCCACGTGATTGACGTACGCGCCTGCGCAGTGCGCTTCTTGGGAGCAGACCAACCGCCCGCCGTGATCCCGCCGTTACCGCCGTCTTCCGCGTCACAACCACCGTCGTCGTCTCACCGTTTGTGATTATTTCCTCTCGGAGTTTCGTCCACACTATGGACACCACGTGCGCAGAGTCCCAGACTTATGCCGCAGTTGTGCAGACGTCGTCTAATGCCGTAGACACCAAAACGTGGCGAACAGTGCGGTGCAGACGACACTCGCGCCTGCCGCACGCCCGCCCGCCCCCATTCCGCCCGTCGTTGGGCCGAGGATCACGTGACCTCTCGCATCACGTGATGGCCATGTACTTGGAGGCCCGAGGCCAATGTTGCCGGACGGAGCCGAAGTTTCGGTTTCGATTTCCGCTCGTGTTTAAAATTAATTAGATTTAAAAATATATATCCCATTTTTCGCGAAGCAAAAGACGTAGTGTCTTTTACTAGGGCTTTTTAATTTGAAATCACTCATTATACCGAAATCTTCGGAATTGAGTGGAGTTGCCCTTTGAAGACCCCAGGCTAGCGGTTGTACTGCACTGGCTAAATTGCTCATCTACAGCTGGGAGACTCGTAGCCCATTGAGGCAGACCAAGTTCTAGGCTGTATAAACATACACACTACCCAATCTTTTTTTTGTGGCACTGCCTTGCATGTATTTTCTCTATTGTTTGGTTATTTACTATTCTTCAGATACAAACGGCAAGCCTGATCAAAACAAACCAACTTTTCAACAAGCTGAAGCAGCCTCCTGTTTTCTTTTGTCCATAGCACGATGTTACCATGCAAGGTGTACATCTTGAATTCAACAAAATAAATTCTCTGCCTGGCAAAAAGTAAAAGAGTTACCTTTGGTACTTCAACTTCAGGTACTTCGCACAGGTACCAACGTTCTTGCTCACTTGTTCAACTTCTTGGTAGCTCCGCTGAATAGATAAATGACGGCTATACCACCCTCTATAATGGGCGGGAGCTTGTGCCATCTACCCTAAAATCTAAAAAACTGTGCCCCATATGTGCACACAAATCTGAAACTAGTGCCTTGTCATTATATTCTTTATCTAATAAAAGTAACTTACAAATCCAGTGTTTCAATATATTCATTGCGTAGTGTTATACTATTATTGCGCACTGTATGTTAGTACTTTAGTGCGAACCAATGTTACTAGAACACTTAGTTGGGAAACTTGCTCTCCAAACATGGACCACTCCCCCGCTCCAAAAACCCGCAGACCTGTAGGATTATGAAACCTGTGGGTCCCACAGAAATTGTGTGGGTGTATGGGTCCCCGCATAGTGCCTGCAGGTCTGTGGGTCCCTATGGGTCCCCACATAGTTTCTGCGGGTGCGGGTTCCTATGGGTCCCCGCATGGTTTCTGTGGGTCCCTACAGGTCTCCGCATAGCCTGTGGGGCCCGCAGACCTACAGGACTGTGGAGACCATGTGGGTGACCCACACGGTTTCATAATCCTACGCTCTGTGGGCGATCTGTGTGGGGCCTGCGGGAAATGGATGCTTGACTGCCATATTTGATTGAGCCATTGCCACGAACCGGCTGGTCTTGTTTTTATTTAGTCCTTAGTCAGACGCTTGTCCCGGCGTCTGAGATCGTTTATTTTTTCACCGAGTACCCTGTTCACCCTGGTGGTGGTGGCTTGAACTGCAATCACCTCTGGGTGCATCGCTTGCCCGTGAAGTTTTTTGATGAGGCACTCTGAAAAACATGTGACAAGATATTCAAAGGAACAGAAAGGCTTAAACATTCAATGTCCAGCTCGTTTAATCCTGATCTCAACCCGAAAACCCGCTTGGTCACAGCAGGCCAAACTACAAAGAGGTCGTTTGAGCTGCTATAAAGTATGCAAATTAGGAGCAATTCTGTATCCATTGCTGATTATAAGCTTTTGTAATTAGCTAAAGACACAAATATGGAAATTAGCATTAATGACCAGGCGAGCTGGTGGGTGATCATGGTTAAAGTTAACCCGAGACAATTGGGAAACAAAAAGGGACAAACACAACGAAGTCTCAAAACAGCTACAGCTGTGTTTTGCTATCGGTGGCCGAGTGGGCTAGTGCACACCAGCTCGGAGAACGTGAAGCGAAAGCTAGAGCTGCAGAACCCACAGATCCTGGGTTCAATCACCATCCCTAACCGTTTTGATCTGGATGAGCATCGTACCAGCATGCGGACGTGCATCACAACTGTCTGGTGCACGTTAAAGGCCCAGGCTAGTGGTTGTACTGCACTGGCCAAATTTCTTATCTACAGCTGGGAGACAAGCTGCCTGCTGAGGCAAACTAAGTTCTAGGCTGTATAAACATACACAAACCTTTTCTTTTTTTTCCCCCCCTTGTGTTGAAGTTACATTAACCACAAGTATTGACCTGATCGTGGCATTGCATGTGCACTGATCTGCTGTTCCCAACTGGCCGAAATGTATGGGAAGACGCTGGACTTTTTTCATCTAGACTATTTTATAATCTTTATTCCAGAGCAAGCCAAAAAAAAAAAAATTAAATGCTGGTGCTGAGCTCAGCAAAGAGTAACTCAGAGTCATTAACAAGGTTAAAAATTAAGCGCCGTTCACACTTGCGAGCGAGTAAGACAGAGAGAGATCAGACCGGTTTTTAAGCCTTTTGCCACTTCTTAGGACCGGATGCGGTGCAGCGCAGAGCTGGTTCTAAGAGATTGCAAGACGTTTAAAAACCGGTCGGGTCTCTCTCGGTCTCACTCGGTCGCAAGAGTGTGAATGGGCCTACGAGTCACTGGCACAAAATGGCACATACACATTAAGCTATGGCACTGAACTATTCACCACTGTGACATGCAGGAAAGAGCTGCTGCCATTTCTACAAATCACGTCACTACAATATAATCCAACTACTCAGACGAGGCATTAATTAGGAAAAAAAATTACAGGATTACTGTTTAGATTAAAATTGTGTCAGGTGATTTGCCCTCACCTCTTAAGAATGCCACCTTCTTGGGCGTTAAAGGTGGCCTCGACTCTTTCTCCTTGTTCGCATTTGATGGCACTCCCGTCACGGTCCTTGTCAGCAGCACGTCCGAGCCCCACACGGACGTGGCCAGGTTCTTGATGGCCAGACTTGACCCAATCTTTGCATCCATGGCGTTGTCCCATGCTTTTCTCTGGAGTTTAACTCCCACATCAGTGAAGTTCATCTGTAAAACATTAAGAGGTGGCAAAACAAAGGTGCCTGGTGAAAACCAAAGAGCTGCTCTCCATGCAATGCTGATTTATGCGAAGTGGTTACTGTATTTATGATACCCTAGTGGAATGTCAGAGCAAACTGGAGCACTTTACAGTCAAAGGAATCTATAAATATACATAATAACAAAAACAATCACTGCAGCTGTGAGCACCAAACTATTTTTTCTTTCTTTTACAAAGAAGACATGTAAGAAAGAACAAGCAGTGAAATCCTATTTAGTACTTGGTACATATCAAACCTGAGGCAGCTATCCTGACTGGTCAGAAAACGGTTTAGTGTGCTAAAAGGAATGTAAAAACATTTTTAGAAAGTGGTTCTGCAAACATACTTATTTTGTTCTTTGGCATTAGAGGACAACATACCATATTTCCTTGCCCTATTAACACCCTAATTTTCCTGAAAATTGTGTCAATTTTTGAAGGGGTGTGACAAATATGGGGAGGGGGGGGACTTTCTCAAATAAAAGCAGAAATGATGGTGTGTCAAACCACTGCATTGGAAATGCGACCGAGCTTCTAGATTGCAAGTGCGGCAGAGGATTTCCTGAGAACTGCTGCGACCACGGGCACGTTCAGAGGTCGTGTTTTTCTGTTTCAGATGGTTTCGATGGTGCAAACGATGTAATTTGAGCACTACCGAAAAGCACACAGAACGTAAAAGTCCAGAGCATGCTGCAGTCACACTCGTCGGCTCCCCCAAACATGCGATCCAAGCATGCGGCCTTTCTCCATTTCTTTTGGCAGCGAGTGAGCCAATGAACCCTGCAGGCTCGGCGGCTGCCTTCACCTGGCGGGCTCACGCACCCGTCGGCATGTCGCATGTATTGTTCTTGGCTATTTCGCCATCGCTTACTGGTGCTTTTTGTGATGCTTTTCAGTTATTTTAGGTATTTTAAAGGTAAATGACGGTCACATATTGCCCATGGTTTCATAACCTATTTCCTGTGGTAGGAAGGTTGCCAAAGTGATAATTTGTCGCTGCCTATTTAAACTAAACGCAATCAGAACTGCGCCGACGGCAGACCATGTGACCCTCGCCACCGGAGCATGAAATGCTGGACGGTGGCACGATCATTCCTAGGTAGCACAAGTTGCCCCCTAATACTGAAGCACTGGATATTCATAGAATTCCTCTAGTGCTTTGCATCATACTGCCTCTGGGCAAAAGGCAAAAAAGAGCAAGACCATTTATGGCCCCAACATCAATGATACAAATATGGGAGGCCATTGTTGATGCCGCCACCGATGTGCATCATTTCGCGTGCATTGCTTGCACTGTGTCCCTGCACAACAGCTACCAACAGACACTGGATCCATTTCACTCGTTTGTTGATTTCCTTAACTAATCTCCTTTCCTAATCTGGACATGAGGACACCGGATATAGTGTGGTTGCCTGCTGGCCAGGTTGTTTGGAGCTTGGACAGAAAAAGTATGAGAAAGATGCCTGTGCTTGCCCAAAAACCGCCACCCGAACGCATTGCACCCGCCGTATCGTGACCACACCAATGCTGTTGCTGGGTGTTTGGCAAAAAAGTTGCTGAACACTGACCACATGAATTCACCTTAAGTAACAAAGCAACAGAGGGCAGACTAAAAACAAAAAGGAAGCTCCCTTGATACTCCAAAGACGCACAAGTTTCGCTTGCACGCGCCTAACAAATGTAGAAAGAATTGCAGAAGTCAAATAGTATCATTAATGAAAAATGTGAGGCTTAAAAGGATACTGAACCAAAATTTGGATATTGCAAAATGAGGTTGCAGAAGCATTGAACGGGACACTACGAACTCTAGAACATAACTCATACATCTATACCTCAAACAGATGGCCATACTTTTGGAAAAGAAGGGTGCGATCAAGCGCGGTCTTTGACGTAATTGTCCTTCGAGAATTTGGGAATGAGGGGAAGCGCCTTGGCTTCTCTTCTCCTCGTTTCGGTTCACCAGCTTGACGGGACGTAGCGAGAAGGAGAAGGAATGAGAATCGTGACGTGCCTTGTCTCGTCAGGCTCGTCGGCCATGTTCAATCGTGCACGTCTTTCCCAAAAATATGGCGATCCGTTAGAGATATCGCTGTATGATGTTTTCGGGTTTTGCAGCGTTCAGCCTTGTCTTGTGAGCTCGAAATTTCGGTTCAGTATGCCTTTAAACCATTTACCCTTTAATGTCCAATGAATTTGCACAGAATGCTATGGGAACAGGTCTAGATTACCTACAAAGTTTAATTCGCTTCTGAATGTTTTCTACAACATTATGACTTTCATGCACTGGGTTGTGCCAATGCTGGTGTCTTGCTGCAAAACCAAGGAATAATTTGTCATGATGGTGCCTTTTTTTTTTTTAAATAATGAGTTTTATGCAGTGGAACTGCAGAGGTCTTTTTAGTAATTTAGATGATGTGAAGCTCTTGTTGCAGAGGCATGAACCCTCTGCATTTTGCCTGCAAGAGACTTACCTCAAACCACCCAACAGCAACTTTCTTAGATCATATCAAGTCTACAGGAAGGACCGCGTGACTACCTCTAGCGCTGCCGGTGGGGTTGCTATTGTCGTAGACAATGGCACTCCTGCCTATGAGGTCCCCCTAAACACGCCTCTGGAGGCCGTTGCGGTGAGGTTGCTACAGCAACGCCTTATTACAATTTGCTCCATTTACATCCCCCCTTCATTTGCCCTGGAACTCGCCTAACTTGAAACTTTAGTCGATCAGCTCCCTGAACCTTTTATTTTAATGGGCGACTTTAATGCACACAACCCCCTCTGGGGCAGTGTCCGAACTGACACTCGAGGTGCTGTTGTGGCGCGGTTTTTATCTCTCAGAGAAGTATGTGTATTAAATACAGGCGAGCCAACATATTTCAGTTCTGCTAATCACTCCTTTTCTTCCATTGACCTCACTATTTGTTCCGCTGCCTTGTCGCTCCCCCTGTTGGAAGATCTCTTTAGCAGATTGGAACCTTTTTCAGTCAAATATCCCTTCTTCCCTGGATCTTTCGCAAGCGGCCTCCGAGGACGAAAAAAATGCTCTCATAACAACAGCAATTGTTGAGGCAGCCCGTCTGTCCATCCCACAGACATCCGGCAAGCTGCCGAGACGTCCTAAACTGTGGTGGGATAATGAGTGTAAAGAATTCCGAAACCGCCAAAACTGTCCTTGGGCAAAATTTAGGAGGTATCCCACTTCCATAAACCTCCTGGCATTTAAGCAATTACGTGCAAAAGTCCGCTATATTAGGAAACGAGCGAAAAGGAGATCCTTTTGCTCATATGCATCTTCTATTAATAGTTTCACGCCAGCGAAGATTGTCTGGGACAGAGTAGGTAGAATGGATGGTGACTACCATCCTTTCTCAATCCCCTTGCTGTTAGACGAGAAGGGAGAAGCATTTTCATCATTATATGAACAAGCCAACGCACTGGGTAGACACTTTGCACAAGTCTCTAGTTCTGAAAACTACACTGCAGAGTTTCTGCAGTTTAAGTCCAAGTGGGAGAGAATCCAAATTCGTAGGTCAGAAGGTTGCACTGAAAAATATAATTGTCCTTTCTCCCTCGTCGAGCTTCGTCGAGCCCTTGTTGCTGCAAAGCCTACATCCCCTGGGCTTGATGCAATTTATCCTAGCATGCTTTATCATCTCCCTGAAACATTTCTAGTCATTCTCCTCCAGTTTTTTAACATCATCTGGGCGAAAGGAAAGTTTCCTAGCACCTGGAAACAGGCTATTGTCATCCCCATCTTAAAACAATGAAAGGACAGAAGTAAAGCCACGAGTTACAGGCCAATCGCCTTTACTAGCTGTTTGGGGAAAACTTTTGAGCGGCTAGTTAACAACAGGCTAATCTACATACTTGGAGAAAAGAACCTACTAAGCAATTTCCAGTGTGGTTTCCGCACTTCCAGGTCTACTGTTGACCACCTTGTACGTCTTGAGACGACGGTCCGCGAGGCTTTCATAAATAGGCAATTTTGTCTGTCTGTATTTTTCGACTTTGAAAAAGCTTACGACACCGCCTGGCGGTACGGCATACTCCAGGACCCTATGCCGATGAACATAAAAGGGAGAATGTTCAACTGCATTGCTGACTTTCTGCAGGATCGTAGCTTTCAGTTACGCCTGGGAGCTACAATCTCCGACCCTTTCCCCCAGGAGAATGGCGTGCCGCAGGGCTGTGTCTTAAGCGTCACTTTGTTTATTATAAAGATAAATTCTCTATCTCAAGTAATTCCGCCCACAATCACTCATTCTGTTTACGTCGACGATGTCCAGATTTGTTTTTCTTCATGTAACTTAGCCATCTGTGAGCGACAAGTTCGGGGGGATCGGTGGCCGAGTGGGCTGAGGCGCACACCCAGCTCGACGCGCGTGGAGCGAAAGCTCGCGCTGCAGAACCCAGGGATCCTGGGTTCGAGCCCCACCCTGCCCGTTTCGATCTGGATGAGCATCGTACCGGCGTGCGGTCGTGTATCACTACTGCGTGGTGCACGTTAAAGACCCCAGGCTAGCTGTTGTACTGCACTGGCTAAATTGCTCATCTACGGTGTAAACCAGTGTCGCCCCTACTGGCAGACCAACCTTACGCTGTATAAATCACTAAACGTCCAATATGACTTGTTGACTTTGAGCGACAAGTTCAACTTACGGTAAACAGGATGAGTAAGTGGGCTGACCAGAATAACTTCCGGTTTTCTGCCGAGAAGACTGTGGCTGTTTGTTTGTCTCGAAAACGAGGAATGTCTCCGGAGCCATCATTATATATTAAAGGTACACTCATTCCGGTTAAATGGGAGCATAAGTTTTTAGGCCTAATATTAGATAGTAAATTAACTTTTGGCTCACATATAAAGGAACTAAGGTTAAAATGTCAGCGAAAGTCGAATCTTCTTAAGGTCCTTGCACACCGTTCTTGGGGTTCCGACCGTGTCTGCCTTTTGCGAATCTACAGGGCCTGTGTTCGCTCAGTTTTGGATTATGGAAGTATTGTTTATGGTTCTGCCAAACCCTCTACACTTTAAATGTTAGACCCAATCCATCACCAGGGAATCAGACTGGCAACCGGAGCCTTTCGAACGTCCCCCGTGCCCAGCTTGTATGCCGAGTCAAATGAGTGGTCGCTTGACAAACAGATTTTATCTTAGCACGCAGTACTATTTAAGACTCCGTACTCTTTTACAGCACCCAAATTTTTCTTTGATTGAAAGCATAAAACATGAGCAGGCCTTTCAAAACAAGCCATCCGTAACGCGTCCCTTTGCACTTCGTGTGAAGGCTGCTGCAGCGACTTATAGTTTTGACCCAGACGACACACATTTGTCCAAAGGATGCCCAAAGGACGTCACCTTCAGGATGAGAAGGGTGTCCCTGGGAGCTCCCGCAAATTTCCCAAAAGCATCCCAAATGAGACTCTAATGAATGGGACTAGAAGCTCCCATAGACATCCTGCCGACATCCCGCAGGTCCTTTTTGGGATGGCAGTAGGACTCACTAGGGACACCAAATCCTGCCTGGGATCTAGAGGGGACATTGCATTTTTTTAGCTTGCTATACCGGGTATTCATAGGAAGTATTTTCCTCGCCACAAAAATAAACTATGCATCGCAGGACGCTCGGTTTTCGAGTAAATGTAGCACTACCGGTTGGAACCAGACGCCAAAGATTAAAGGCTTACTGTTATCTGGTTCGATATATATATATGCAAATCTTTTAAATATTGAAAAAAACAATTATGGCTTTCTTCAGTAGGAGGTGCTATTCATCTGTAAATTAAAAGGTCCTGTTAACTGCAAATTCCTCGTTGAAAGCTTCGAAACATTGTCTAAAATTTTTGGATCAAGTAACGGTAGGCACTGATATTGGCATCCGGTCCCAGTCACTAGTACTACATTTGGGCAAGCTGAATGGAATAAGCTTATTTCTGTGGCGAGAAAAACAGTTCTCACTTCTCATGAACATCCAGTACTTTCATAAGTTGAGCATAATGAATGCGTGCTTTAGGCACCTTCCATCACGGCAATTGATGCAACCCATGCGGAGAACAAGTTGTCTGCTTCTTGCGCAGGAGTTGCAGTGACATCAGAAAGACGCCGAGCTCCAATTGGCTCCGATGGAAGGATCGTGGGTAGACCTCAAAGCAAGCCGCCTTGAGGTCTACCCCCTATTCTTCATTCAGAACCAATCGGAGCTTGGCGTTCTGGCTTCACCACAAATCCTGCAAAAGAAGCCAACGAACTTGTGCTCTGCAAATAGTTCGCAGTGGTCATGAAAGCTGTCTGAAGTGTACTTACTCAATTTCACCCACTAATGTTCCAAAAAATGTTTTAAAACGAAGTATCTATCAAATTTGAGATGCAAACTTCTCAAGCAGTCATGCCAATCAAAGATGTTGGTATGCAAAGGTAAGGCAGCTTTTAAATTTTATTGTAAGAACACTAACACTGGATCATAAAATCGTGTTACAAACATACTTTTGCTTTTACAAGAAAATAGTCTGCTTTCACAAGAAAAAGAGACTAGTTGTAAGTGGTTTCATGATGGTTTATCCAAGAAGCCTTAAGCAACTGTTGATAAAAATAAAATAGTCTGATAACAAAGATATAAATGACTCGTTAGTGACTTAACAAAGCTTATAGAAAAAGGTTGAAGCAACTGTTCATAAAAATAAAACCACCTCTTTAGAGAACTAAAAAAAAATTCCAGACTGCAACTGTTCATAAAAATAAAGTAGTCTGTTTTACAAAACAAATAAATTATTGACTAGTTGGAACCTGAACGAGGCTTAAGGAACTGTTCATTAAAATAACAGCACATCTTCACTTGGAAAGAAAACAATTCCAGATTTCAGTCATCCTCATCTTCCTCTGGGTGTGCCATCTGTGCAGCCCCCCTACAAAGCAAGTAGAACACATCTATGAGCATACATATTCACTAAGTTGTGCTAGCTCTTCCACGTGGAAACAATCATGGCTTCAGAAACCCTGCACCACGAGACGAGTTTAAAATTATGCTGAACCCAAACTTGAGCTGTGAGTATATGTAGTAGCAAAGTGCTTGTGTGTTCCCTAAATTATGCTATTTGAATAAAAAAAATGCAGAAAGAATAAAATTGTGAACACAAGATTTGCATTGTGAGCATTTATAAAAACTATCTTCATGATGTCACAGCTTTCCTAACCTCCACTACTCTGCAGCCAAGGCACAAGGAGTTCTGCTAAGCCAGGGGGAGGAGTGAAGGTTAATTCGAGTGCAATACGTTAATGTCAGGAAGCAGGAGGGATTCAGTCGTCCACTATGCAGTAGAAGCACCAGTCGTTGACTGCTGCTTCTACTGCATAGTTAAGGGAAATCTCAATTTGGGTTCAGCATCCCTTTAACGTAGACAGAAGTGACTTGATATCTCAATGTTAAGCATTTTTTTTACACTGCAGATGAATAACAACTGCAGTGTTGACATTTTGGCAAATTTACAATGTTTCGTTCTTTGTAAAATGTTTGCAACTGCTGTATTAAAGTTCTACAGTACTGATATTACTTGCCTATCAGCCTTCACATGCAGCCTAATCGTATGCCTGCTTACCTTTTCTGGCAGTTGTCCAGGCGCTCTTTGGCATGGCGCAGCCATGTCATTGTTGTTTTCTCAATATCTTTAAGAGTGACTTCTGCTTCTTTCTTGTTTTGTTGTTCTGTTAAGCCACCTGTAAGATATATATTTTATATAAGGCAATTTAAGTAAAATAGTAGAAGTGACATTTGTCTAGGAAGCATTGGCTGCTTAAAGGTGCAAGCTACTGCTCAGTACAGCAAGTATATTCAGGTGTCCAAAATGGTGTGCCCTACAAAAATGAAACGAACTGCACGATGCTAGAAAGCATCTTGTGAGAGTTCCAGTAATTTATAATTAAGCAGAAATAATTCCTTACTTAAGAGTAATTAGCTAACTTATTAAGAAACTGGCAAATTGCTAGGAAATTGTGAAGCGGTTATGTGAAATGTTTCGCTGGCTCTTGCTTGGGCTGAATGGCTTAGTGCTGAAGTTAAGGACTCATTTCTTTTTCGCTTTAGTTAGCCTTCTCGCAAGCTTTCCGTGCATCTCCTGCAAGCATTGCAATGTCGGATGGAAGCACACTCGGCTTACGTTGCTGCCATGGGTTCAAGCCCAGGCGGCGACCGTCCCTTTAACTCTGAAACGCCCTGTCCTCCTCTGCACCGGCTACACCACGTCTAGCCGGTTGACCACGTGATTATCCAATCAGCGTCAAGCTTTCCTCATCTCCACCAGCTATACCATGCGACTTGTCCCGACCAATCAGCTTCGAGCTTGCGGTTACACAGTATACCGCATGTTAAGAGTGTAGAACCAGAGAACGTTTCACATTAATACTTATTTGAGAACCGAGGTGTCAGTGTGAAACTTGCAAAGTGCATTAAAAAGCATTGGAATTACATGACTGCAATGTGATACAGTTCACATACTTTATTTTACTGACCTGTAAAATATTACAAAATACCACGACAATGTGCCCCCTTAATCATGGACTCTTCTAAAATCTTGCGGCATTTCTTTACATATAAACAGAAGCATGCATATGCATCATGGTGCAAATATTTCAAGGTGCTTTAAAACTTTCCAATTGACATTTCAGCTCCTAAGTAAATATTTAAAAAGTTATCTAATTAGCCTCAACTAATTAATTTGGCTTACTTAAAAAAATATGACAAATTGCTGAGCAACTGTGTTGCGTACGTGAAACGTGTGAGACACAATTCTTCAAAGTTCAAAGGTTGCTGCATTATAAAACGCTTCATACTCAAACACTGCAACTCTAGCCAGATGCTTGCTAATAACAGACAGTATGCTTAACTTGCATAGAGCACTCAACTTTTTTTTTTTAATTTAAGCGAATTATTTGTGACATGCGGCATACGATCTTACCATTTATCACCTGGAAAAACATTCATAGGTTTGACGCAGCACTAAATATGAATATATGACACGACTAGAAAAGGGTGCTTTAGGTTTGCTCAGATGTGACGCTTTCTCTTGTGCATGTTTTCCTTTCCCACATTACATCCCCATAGAGCATTAGTAAAACATGAAGTGCCTTCCAGTGGCATTAAGAGCTATCATGGAAAAGGGCTTATACAGCTCCCACACTTTTGCATTCTCCTCCTTTGGGAATGCAGCATGACCAACAGTGTCATGGGATGGAAACAGCGAGAGGGACTGAGGGCACACACACGACGTTCCTGAAAATACTTCCACTCCTCGCATGCCTTTCGGGATTTTTGAAAATGGTCCATTACATAAAATTGAATAAAGTAAATTCAATTATCTGCCTTATTCAATGCTTCGTAAACCAAATTTATAGTCAGTTTAACTGATATGAAGCTCGGTACCAGGAGCTGTGTGTTAGTGACTTAGCACTCTTGATTTAGAAGGACAGTAAGGTATTAGTACGACATCACCTATACTGTACCTTAAAAACAAAGCTGTACAATTAATATTATTTCTACAAAATATCATGAGCCCTTTGAAGTGCTTACCACACATCAGCTGACAGAACTGCAGGTCACAGAATCTCCTCTTGTCTTTTGTACCATACCAAGTGAAGGCCACTCCTATGTCGTAAGTCAGAAGCTTCTTATGTATTCGGGAAGTTTTTTCCTTTGCATCGTCCCCGCCAATTATTTTGATGTACCTTTTCTGGAATAGAACATCAGACAGTCGGGCCTGAATAAGAGAGGAATACCAGGGTCTTCAGTGGCGCAAAAATTAACTCAGCATTGCAGGAAGGTGAAACTCTGCCCGAATGTGACGCTAGCTGTGCTGACAAAATGAGAAAGTTTGAGAACATGGCATTACCTAAATCAAAAGATACGGGAAAGAAACACTTCTTCACAAGCGCATGTACACTCGGCCTTTTTTCAAAAAAGATAAGTTATTTTGGCCCCTGTGGAGCTTATTTTGGTGAGAGGGCTTATAAAAAGGAAACAAAAGAAGGGTTTCTTTCGTTGTGGTACGCTTAGTGGGCGTCACTCAAAAAGAAATTTGTTTTTTTTTCTCAATTTCTTTTGATCCAAGTAATATCACATTCTCAAACATTCGAATTCTATCAGCACCGCTAGCGTCACACTGTGGCGGAGCCTCAACTTCCTGCAATGCATAGCTATTTTTTGCGTCGCTGAAGGCCCTAGTTTTTTTCTCCCCAAATTGGGCCCGGTATATGTTTTGTCCTTAAAGGGGTACCCCGGCCATTTTTTGAGCTACTCAAACAAATTGCATTTTCTGACTACCAGGACTTTAGTGTTCACAGTACGCTATTTATTTTTTTGAAGTTGATAAATAGCAATCGACAAAACCGTAAACGAAGATGATGCCGAAACCAACATTCAAATTTCCGCGCGCTCTCCAGTGGTGTGACGTCACAAATGGTACAGAGCTTTAAGTCGCGCAGGTAGTCTTAAACTGAGCATTTCAAGTGTTTTTTGCACGTTCCTTAGTGAATCAGCTACCAAGCATTCTTTTCCCACCATCAAATGTCTTGTAACCAGTTGGGAAAATGGCTTACTGCCCACTTTGTACCATTTCTGTCGTCACACTTCAATGTTGCCAGTAGGGGCCCCCGGTTTGAGAAACACGATGAAAACGAAATTATAAAATTCAATAACTTTGCAAAATCATCTTTTCACACAATACTTGGGGAGCTGGTACAGCCGTGTCTATCGGTGTGTTGAGCCATTTTTGAGGCAAATCAGAGACCACGAAAATAATGCCGGAATACCCCTTTAAAGGAACAGTGACAACCCCCAATTTTGTTTTTGTTTTTTTTTACTTTTTTGCCAGGCGGTTTATTATGGTGTCAGATCAATATTTTGCTAGTGTCACATCTATTTTTAATAAAGTAAAAAAACGCAACTGCTCGAAACCGAAACTGGACTGGGCAGGAAGAAATATAGAGGAGGGGATAGGTGGCAGAAGTCACGTAGCTGTGATACTTTTTTTCTCCCAAACGCATTTGCAGCTTTTTAGAAGCCACAAAAAACGGGTATCATATTTATTTTCTATTTTAAATGTTGTGTGCGTGCCTTCAATGACCTAGGACTTCGATTATATTTTGTGGTTCTGTCTAAACCATGAAAAAACGGCACATGGCCACGGAGAAGAGAGTGAGCGTGACTGAAACTAGCCAGTTCTCGATCGGCTGTTTTCGGTCGGAAAGAAAACGAATTCCGAGCCGCGAGTTGTTTTCTGGGTAGTTGGGCTCTCACGTGTAATGTGCAAATAAAAATATTGGCGAGCCTAAATACCCCGTCAGTTTTATCAAAGAAATTAAAAACAAATTTCATCTCACCAGTTGCAGCTTCTTTTCATCACTTGCAGCCAGGACTTTTTCGTAAGCCAAGAATTCCTCCAAATCCTTCAAAGGAGCAACAACAAGAGGTTCGGTCGGTGCAGGCAGCACACTGTCGAGCATGTTGGCAAGGAGTGCCAGTTGTTCTGATTGCTGTTGTTGTCTCTGCTTGAGTGTATGCAACATCCTCAGCACCTGCGTCATGAAATCTAAAAAGAGTATGGCATACAAATGGCATACAAAAGGCTTGAAACAAGGCCCCAGGGAAGATTGAAGGTCTCACTTCTAAAAAAATAGAAGTATTTATTACCTGTCCATTGTGGGCCCGAAATTGCCCCTGGTGGCATATGAGCAGTAATATCACGCGGCCGCCCTGCGCTGGGAACAGGGCCTGACAGAGAAATGATACACAACTCCATTTAAGATACATAGTGAGCTATAAAAGTATTTAAAACCATGGAAAAACAGCGCTAGAAATACGAGGACTAAGACAAGGGGAAACAAGAGAAGGCGATCCTACCAAAATATACAGTTGAGAGTGCCTCGTTTACCCTCATCTTAGTCCTTGTATTTTCCGGCGGTGTTTCTATTGCTATAGGAAGCGAGCATGCCGGCCGTGTCGCGGCGGTCGCCTATTGTTCGCCGCGACCTACCGGTAGCCGCCGCAGGAGCATCGGGGAGCAATGGCGACGAACAGCACGGCAGACAGTGTCCCCGTCGTGATTACGAAGGAATTTAAGGCAGTTACGAATTCGGAAAGTTCCTTCGGTAGCGGGTTCCTTCGGTAGCCGTCGGCGGAAGTAATAGCAACGAACACCACAGAGGACAGAGGGCGATTACGAATCCGGAAAACTTCTTCGGTAGCCGGTGCAGAATCATCGGGGGAAGCAATGGCGATGAGCAGCACAGCAAGCACAGCGGACAGTGTTCCCGGGGTGATTACGACGGGGTTTAAGGCGGTTACGAATCTAGAAAGCTTCTTCCGTGGTACCAATATGAAGAAGGGAAAACTCCTTCGTGAATCTGGCCGCGTGTACGACGTGAAGGAGGTCCGTTTCGACGGACAAGTGGATGTCACGGAGCGCCGTACTCCGCTAACAAAATTAAGCGTGCCCGCAAAAAAATGTAGTTGGCGTTGAGTGGACCGTGGTAATTATGTACGTTTATTTCTGAATCAGCTTGACAATAACTGGGCGATTTTTTTCGCGCCGTTCCGCGATTCCCACTACTATCTTCCTGTAGGCTGATGGAAACATCCAAGTGTAGGCTCAGGGGGGCGACCGCACTCCGCTTCTCGATTCCGGTGAAGTATTTGCCGCATACTTTAGAGTTTGCCGTCGGTGTCGATGCTGTTCCATCGTCGCTAGAATAGAAAAAAGTTAATTGTATTATTCGTCAGCAGCTGAAACAAAGCGCGAACAGAAAGGTAAGAAACGCCACTAACCTGTATGGACGCACAAGTCGCACCTGCAGGTCGCGCAGTACTCCGCCTCGTACGGCCGTACGGCTTCGAAGGGACGATGTAGTACTTCGTGCCGTGTGCGATCTTCGACGTACTGTTGCAGCCGACCACGCAGCAATTGTTGCGGCTTTCTTGGTGCGGAATAGCCATCTCAGAAATTACAACGCTAACCCACTACAACGCACAACCAACGCAGCGACTGGCAGAAGCTCCCCGATGCGATGGACCCGTTTGCCGCTAGGGGCGCCCTGGTCGGGGCTTGAATTAGATGCGCACGGTTCCTATGAACCAACAGGCGCAAATCACCACTTTACTGTAGTTTTCAAACAGTGGAATTCATACCCCCTAAAGTACGCAGGTGTGCTACAAACTTCTGGCAATGACCACTGATAAAGAAACTTAACGAGCAAGTGTATCCCAACTTTAATGCCAACTTTGGTGGGAAGAAATTTGGGGAAGCACAACGCTAACTCACCCACTTTTTCAAGTGAAAGCTTAGAAGTAAAACATCGACATGATCAGTAGCATGCACTCAGAATGCACTTCAGGTTCCCCATCTTGCCAGTCATAATATTGCCGCGCGCAGGGTCACGGACTTGTAGAAAGTTCTCGTTCATTCTTGCTGCGGACATAACTATCGTTCATCCTTGTTTTTGTTGTTCTAGAAAGTGTTTGTTCATTCTCGCCCCGAGCGCGCTACGCTCGAACCTTCTCCGCCGAATCTTCGAGATAGTGACTCACTCTAGATAAGAGGCCGCCCCCGACCTTGTCGAGTCAGTTTCGCCCCAGCGCTCGACTCTGCTGTCTCGCCGACCTCGACGCTCGCGACGCTTTGTTATTATTTTCTATTCTCTTTTTGTTTTGGCACAAGTTCGCCACATTAAACGTTTAGTTCTTCCTGTTTATTTATTGTTATTCTGGTCACCACCCGTGACATTTTGGTGGAGGTGCTGGGTACCGCATGCCTGTACAGCGTTCCCCTCCAAGATCCCGCAGTGCAAGTCCGGTACCAAGCCCAGTGAGAAGACCACTCCCCGCGGAACCCGAAACTCGGACCAGCCGGCGCATCAAGGGAGAGAATCCTGAATACGGTTTGCTACTGGACAAGCCCAAGCCGAAGAAGACGACGATGGCCGACCAGGCGCAGGCCCCGGCTGCTCCTGCCGTCGTATACCTGCCCGTCGCACCCAAAACTCCGACGCCGTTCCACGGAGACGCACACGAGGACATCGAGGACTGGCTGCAACACTATGAACGGGTGGCCCGCCATAACGGGTGGTCAGCCGAGCACTGTTTGCAGAACCTTTACTTTTCGATGGAAGGAACTGCGAGGCACTGGTTGGAAAACCACGAGGCTTCTTTGACGTCGTGGGAGGTGTGCAAGCAAGAATTAAAGAAGACGTTTGCCTGCCAACACCGACGTGAGAGGGCCGAAGATCTCCTGCGAACAAGGACCCAAGACCTACATGAGAGCGTCACCAGCTTCGTTGAGGATGTTCTCCGCCTGAGCGCCCGCGCCGATCCTCAGGCTACCGAGGAGAAGAAGCTGCACCACTTGATGAGGGGTGTGAAAAGTGAGATATTCGGCGGCCTCATTCGCAATCCCCCGACAACCGTCGACGGGTTCGTCACGGAGGCGACGAATATGGAACGGGCCCTACAAGCACGCGCCAGACACTACCAGCGACACCCCGGCGTAACCACTCTGGCGACATCCGGATCCGACCTTGGCACCACCCTCCCCGGCATCCGTGAAATTATCCGTGAAGTCGTCCAGGAGGAACTCAAGAAGCTCCTGCCCGCTGCAGTACGCCCGGCCTCACTCTCCATCGCCGAGGTTGTGCGGGAAGAAGTCCAGAGAACCTTCCAGAAAGAGGCTCCTGTCGTCGTGGCAGCCCCCGAGGAGCCCACGTTGACTTACGCCGCAGTGGCTCGACGGCCACCGCCTCCTCCTCGTCACACCTATGTCGCGCCGCCCCGACGTCAGACTCCTGCGCCGCAGCACGACCGACACCACGACGACCAGGTCCAGTACGCCTGCCCGGAGCCTCGCGCACCCCGCAAGACCGACGTGTGGCGAACGTCCGACCGCCGCCCTCTGTGCTTCCATTGCGGGGAAGCGGACCACACCTACCGCCGATGCCCATACCGACGACTCGGGCTTCGCGGGTTCCACCCGAACGACCCGCGACCCCGTTATGGTGAACGCCCTCGGGAGATCGACGAGTACCTGCGACGACCTCAGTCCCCCGAGCCTACGTCCCGCCGAGAGTTCCGGTCGCCGTCGCCACGACGTCCAGCTTCGCCGATGCACCGACCCCGACGTGAAAGTCTGTCGCCCCTCGCTCCTCGCCGGGGAAATTAGGCGCGGCAACCCCTGGAGGTGGAGTTGCCGAAGACGACCGACGCCAAGATCCTCCACGAACGTCGGAGGGCCCCCACTCGAACGCTACCAGAGATCGAAACCACGCCCCTGCAACGGTGTCCAATAACCTAAACGTCGTCATCGACGGCCACGACGCATCAGCGCTCGTGGACACTGGAGCAGACTACTCAGTCTTGAGTGGAAGGCTCTCCCGCCGCCTTCGGAAAGTCACGACGCCGTGGGATGGACCTCAGATACGAACCGCCGGAGGGCACCTCATCACACCTGTCGGGAGATGCACTGCTCGCGTCGAGATCCACGGTGAGACGTGCCCTGTCAAGTTCGTCGTTCTGCAAGACTGTTCGAGGGACGTTATCCTCGGAATGGACTTTCTCTGCGAGTATGGCGCCGTCATCGACCTCGGAGCAAACCGGCTGACGCTTCGAAAACCTGCTCCACCACAGGAGGACCCCAAAATGACGTCATCCGCGGTACGAGTCCTCGCAAACCACGTGAACCTACCGCCGCAGTCAAGTGTTTTCGTACCCGTCGGGGTCGATGAGACTTTCTGTGGCGACGTTTTGCTCGAAGGAAGCCTCCAGTTGCTTCTAGGAAGAGGGATCGGCATCGCAAGAGGCGTCACGGAGCTCCAAGACGGACGCACTACTGTCGCACTCGTAACGAACTTCCGACAGGAGGCCCAGCACCTTACGAGAGGCACCGCCGTGGGCCACGCCGAGGAACTCCCGGACGCAGCCGCAATCGCCGGAATATCAGAAGACCTCTCTTCGTGGCCACCTAAGACAACCCCACTTTCGCAGTTTGACATCGACCCAACCCTGCCTACCCCACAACGACGACAACTCAGTGACCTTCTCGCCGAGTTCAATGAGTGCTTCTCCACGTCGTCAAAGGTGCGCCAAACGACCGTTGCGAAACATCGAATTGTCACTGAAGACAACGCGCTTCCTGTGCATCGGTCGCCGTACCGTGTTTCCGTGAAAGAAAGAGAGGTCATCCAGAAGCAGGTCCAAGAAATGCTCGATGACGACATTGTCCAGCCCTCAAGCAGCCCGTGGGCTTCACCGGTAGTCCTGGTGAAAAAGAAAGACGGGACTCTTCGGTTCTGCGTGGACTATCGCCGACTAAACGCCGTAACGAAAAAGGACGTCTACCCGCTGCCACGCATCGACGACACTCTGGACCGGCTGCGCCATGCCCGATACTTTTCGTCGATGGACCTGAAGAGTGGGTACTGGCAGATCGAGGTCGACGAACGGGATCGTGAGAAGACTGCCTTCGTCACGCCGGACGGACTGTACGAATTTAAAGTGATGCCGTTCGGACTGTGCACAGCACCGGCGACGTTCCAGCGCGTAATGGACACCGTTCTTTCCGGCTTGAAATGGCAAAGCTGCCTCGTCTATCTCGACGACGTCGTGGTATTCGCAAGCGACTTCGACGAGCACCTGAGACGTTTGCGAGCCGTACTACAGGCTATCCAGAATGCTGGACTGACACTAAAGCCGTCAAAATGTCGGTTCGCTTACGGCGAGCTCAAATTCCTGGGCCATGTCGTGAGTGCTCAGGGTGTAAGCCCTGATCCTTCCAAGACATCTGCTGTTGCAGAATTTCCCAAGCCATCAGACAAGAAAGCCGTAAGAAGATTTCTTGGACTATGCGCTTATTACAGGCGTTTTGTTCGCGATTTTGCCAAGATTTCTGCACCGCTCACGCATCTGACCAAGGACGACGTGAACTTCCAGTGGGGGGAGGAGCAAGAACAAGCGTTCAACGAACTGAGGGAAAGACTCCAGTCGCCCCCTATCCTCGGACACTTCGATCCATCAGCGGAAACGGAAGTTCACACGGACGCCAGCAACGCCGGACTCGGCGCGGTACTCGTCCAAAGACAAGACGGAGCAGAGAGGGTGATCGCTTACGCAAGCCGGGCACTCTCTAAGGCAGAGAAAAATTACTCGACGACCGACAAGGAATGTCTCGCTGTCATCTGGGCGTTAACCAAGTTCCGCCCGTACCTGTACGGGATCCCGTTTCGCGTTGTCACGGACCACCACGCTCTCTGTTGGCTCGCCAACCTCAAGGACCCGTCAGGACGCCTCGCTCGCTGGAGTCTGCGACTGCAAGAATTCGACGTGGCCATTGTGCATAAGTCTGGCCGCAAGCATAACGACGCCGACTGTTTGTCTAGGGCCCCAGTCGAATCTCCTCCCGAAAGCACTGACGACGACGACGACGCCCGTTTTCTCGGTGCAGTGACAGATGCCGACATGGGAGCACTTCAACGAGACGACCCGGAACTTCGCGCCGTGATCGAACACCTCGAAGGCCAAGAAAGTTCAGTTCCGCGAGTCTTGGCCCGAGACTTGTCAAGCTTCGTTCTGCGGCGAGGTGTGCTCTTCAAGAAGAACTTCGGAACGAGCAACCCTGCTTGGCTGCTGGTTGTTCCGGCCAGCCTGCGAGAAGAAATCTTTCAAGCATGCCACGACAACCCGACGGCTGGACACCTTGGCTACAGCCGGACGCTCGCCCGGATTCGTGACAAGTACTACTGGCCGAGACTCCCGAAAACAGTCCATCTGTACACAAGGTCGTGCCATGAGTGCCAACGACGTAAGAGGCCTCCGACGAAGCCAGCTGGACTCCTGCAGCCGATACCTGCCCCGACTAGGCCTTTCCAGCAAGTCGGAATGGATTTGCTTGGGCCGTTCCCAACATCGGCGCAAGGAAATCGGTGGATTATCGTCGCGACCGATTATCTTACACGATACGCCGAGACAAAAGCCCTGCCATCAGGAACAGCCGTGGAAGTCGCCAAATTTTTCGTCGAGTCCATTCTCCTTCGACACGGCGCACCTGAAGTACTGATTACAGATCGCGGGTCATCCTTCATGGCCCAGATGACGCAAGAAGTCCTTCGTCTCAGCCACACCAGCCATCGTCGCACCACGGCGTACCACCCGCAGACCAACGGGCTGACGGAGAGACTCAACAAAACCATCGCCGACATGATTTCCATGTACGTCGACGTAGAGCACAAGACATGGGACGAGGTGCTGCCGTACGTCACGTTTGCGTACAACACAGCGGTTCAAGAAACCACGGGAATGACACCGTTCCAACTGGTACACGGCCGAACGGTTACCACGACGCTCGACGCCATGCTGCCTCACGTGCCAACCGGTGATGTCAACGACGACGTTCAACTCATCTCCCAGCGCGCGGAGGAAGCTCGTCAACTGGCAAGAGTCAAGATTCAAGACCAACAGCGAGTCGACGCACGCCGGTATAACCTTCGTCGCCGGGACGTCCACTTTCAACCCGGAGACCGGGTATGGGTTTGGACACCAATACGTCGTCGCGGTCTCAGCGAAAAACTCCTGAAACGCTATTTCGGACCCTACAAGATCATCCGACGCCTCGGCGATCTGAACTACGAAGTTCTACCCGACGGAACGCGCCCATCTGCAAGACGTCAGCCGTGACCCGAGGTGGTGCACGTCGTCCGGCTGAAGCCGTATTACGAACGATAGAACTTTCCACTCTCGTCGACGGGTGAACTGTGAACTGTGAACTGCGACTCGCGATTCTGCTGCCTTTTTGTTTTGGATTTGTTTTTGTTTGTTGTTCTTCGTTTCGTGCTGCATCGGGACGATGCACTTTTTAAAGGGGGGGATAATGCCGCGCGCAGGGTCACGGACTTGTAGAAAGTTCTCGTTCATTCTTGCTGCGGACATAACTATCGTTCATCCTTGTTTTTGTTGTTCTAGAAAGTGTTTGTTCATTCTCGCCCCGAGCGCGCTACGCTCGAACCTTCTCCGCCGAATCTTCGAGATAGTGACTCACTCTAGATAAGAGGCCGCCCGCGACCTTGTCGAGTCAGTTTCGCCCCAGCGCTCGACTCTGCTGTCTCGCCGACCTCGACGCTCGCGACGCTTTGTTATTATTTTCTATTCTCTTTTTGTTTTGGCACAAGTTCGCCACATTAAACGTTTAGTTCTTCCTGTTTATTTATTGTTATTCTGGTCACCACCCGTGACAATATAGCTAAGTATGGGAAGAAACATACCATGCTAGCAGATAAAGAACGTTGTCGTCTGTGATCGTCCTTTTCTTTTTATTCTTTCAGTTAATTTTTCTGCATTTAAACTCAGTGTAATGTACACTGCACATAATATGGTGCCTGGTCAAATAAGCAATAGAAAATAAACATGGTCAAATGAACAAGTTGCTACAGAGACGATGTGGTCTGAAAATGCACTTCAATAAAATGCCAGAACATCACAAATATGCTAGCAGAAGGAGAACATATTTTCAGTTACCATGCACATGCTGATTGAGGGCCTCGGGAGACATTGCTGAGCACCTCCCGAGTGAGGATTCTACCTCGTGATGGGAAGGGCGGCTCCCTATTGCAGAGAAGCATGTGAAATTTCAGCACAACGCAGAAAACTCTTATCGTCCGATGGGTTCTAGCTAGAACACTCTCTCTTCAGACAAAGTGACTCGACATCACTGAAGGAACCATATTAGCAGAAAGACAGTAAATAATGAATTACCATGTGCCTGCTGGGTAGAGTGCCTAGGGGAGAGTGAACGCCTCCACGGAAGTTCCTCAAACTCACGAGAAACTGAACGGCTGCCTGAGAAAAAACAGCATGCCTCCAATTCAATTTAACCATGTTACTAGATGACCTGCACATTGCTAACACTCCTTAGGGTGTGTGGGAGATGTTCACTTGTCCTGCATGACGTACATATTTGAAAGTTTTTTCAATCCTCTATAACTCTGCCACAGATATTCGTTCACATCATTTATATGTGAAACTTGAAAGGTAAGGTGCCTAGTTACCATGGACCCCACTCCTGGACCGCTCCGGTGATTTGGACTGCCTTCCATACGAGGACTTGCGCTCCCGTGAGACAGGAGGGCTGCCTGCATAAAAATAAGTTGACATAATTGCTACAAAAGTAATGCAAGCTGGTAGAGTAAGCATTTTCAAAGGAGAACATGTGTGTTCAATTACCATGCACATGCTGACTGAGAGCCTCAGGAGACATTGCTGAGCACCTCCCGAGTGAGGATTCTACCTCGTGATGGGAAGGGCAGCTCCCTATTGCAGAGAAGCATGTGAAATTTCAGCACAATGCAGAAAACTCTTATGGTCCCATGGGTTCTAGCTAGAATACTCTGCTACTCTCTTCAGACAAAGTGACTCGACATCACTGCAGGAACCATATGAGCAGAAAGACAGTAAATAATGAATTACCATGTGCCTGCTGGGTAGAGTGCCTAGGGGAGAGTGAACGCCTCCACGGAAGTTCCTCAAACTCACGAGAAACTGAACGGCTGCCTGAGAAAAAACAGCATGCCTCCAATTCAATTTAACCATGTTACTAGAAGATCTACACACTGCTAACACTCCTTAGGGTGTGTGGGAGATGTTCAGTTATCCGGCAGGACATTTTATTTTACATATTTGAAATTTTTTCAATCCCCTATAACTCTGCCACAGATATTCATGCACATCATTTATATGTGAAACTTAAAAGGTGCCTAGTTACCATGGGCCCATCGGCTGGACCACTCCGGGGATTTGAGCTGCCTTCCATGCGAGGACTCGCGCTCCCGTGAGACAGGACGGCTGCCTGCATAAAAATAAAAAGTTGACATAATTGATACAAAAGTAATGCAAGCTGGTAGAGTAAGCATTTTCAAACAGCCCCAATAAATACCATTGGATGAATTAACAGAACAATCAGCATATAGTTACAACGCGAGGAAAACATGAAATGCCCACATTCTGCTACAAAGCTCAAAGCGAGCATATTAACTGTCTTCTAGTATATGGCTCAGAGTAAAGGTGTGTTAAAACTTAATTTCAGTGCCCATTTGCAATATTGAACACAACTCCAAGATACATCATTAGGTCATTTAGCACAAGAACAGTATGCTTCGTTACCGTGCACACCCTGGCTAGACTGCTCGCATGATCTCGAAATCCTCCGAAGTGCCTGACCTTTGTTAGAGATGGGACGGCTCTCTGCAGAAATGATGTGAATAAACAGCATTTGAAAAGCAGTGCTAAGAGGAAAATAAAACTCGACCAAATCCGGATGGAAAATAAAAACATACTCATACAAAACCCCAGTTCAATGCAAAGTAAGACATAAAGAGAAATGTGATTGATGGTTTAATACCTTTCGCCTTCTGACGACCTGCCCCGTGTGACCTCGAATGCACCACAGCTTCATGTCCAGAAAAGATTAGACGGCTGCCTGATTTTGGAAAAAAAGAATACTATAAGGAAACTTTTATCAGATAGAAGAAGTCTGCGAGACAACAAAGCTACTGCCGAAGCTCATCAGAAATAAACATGGAAGACCATTTTATAAGGAGAAGTTGAGCTTATTGCTTAACACTAAATTAATTAACCAAAAGATGACACATAAAGAAAGAGATAGACACATACAGGTCTTTCATGTACCTACATGTGTTTCTGCTTTCTAGAAATTATTCAACACTACTTTCTGAGAGTGTGACGAGTGGTCCCAGGCGATCATTTTTTACCGATACCAGATGATGTTTGCAACTGATAAGGAAACCATCATGTGGCTCTGATATTAGATGTCAGATATGGTTAAGGAGATGTACAGTACACTTCCTGTCCTGAGATGTATAAAGGATAAATAGCAACTGCCCAAAATATGATGGCAGTTGACAATAAGTCAGTCATCAGAACCAGCTCATATGAACTTCCCACGTGTTATGACCACTTGCAGCAACATAAAAGGCTCCTGAATATACAAAAACACTCCAGCTACATTCCAAATATTAAAAATGTTTTTTTAGGGCTATCAAAACCCATTTCTACAGATCAATTTAAACTATTAAAATCAGTGACTGCAAGCTCTCATTGTAAACCTCTGATCTACTTCTGCATGACACGATAGACAGCAAAGTTATGAATATGAGCGCCATGCTCTGTAATGAGTATTGGTAGTGACAGCGCTTGTGCAAAAGGCATGCCTTGCAAAGCAATGAGCCGGTAAATGTAGCACTTGCTGCATCCAGTCAAACACCTGTCCAACCAAGTGTCTGGAACTGCAAAAGCACCTTGTTACACAGATCTCTTGATAGTAAACATCACCCTAGGCAAGGTATTAAAACAACTGGGTAGAACCAGATTATCCTCTCTGTTAAACAGGTTATTTCATACTAGAGGCTTTCAACTGTACTCGAAACAGAGATGAATATTGTCGGCAGTTTTGCCTCTCCCAATGAGATAGGAGACTGTTGCCATCACAGACTTCCGTTAAAAATTTATTTTGGCTGTTTTATTTAAGTATGTTTTATTTTTATGAATAAACAGCTATAGCTAGCTTAAAATCTGGAGAGATATGTGTAATTAGTTCCATTAGCATCCCACAAAAAAAAAAAAATGAAAGGATTGAATTACTCTAAGAAAGGAAAATTTTCATAAAATAGAACGCAATGTCTTCAAACTACTCACTTTTCTTTGCTTGGTCAGATCTTTCTCCAAGGCAGGGTGGTGTGGGTGGTTTAGGAGGAATGTAGCCTTCTTGGATTTCAACTTCAGAATCGCTAGACACTAGCTTCCTAGTCTTTTTTCTTTTTCCACGCCCTAATTCTACGTCACTACGTAGGTCGGACGCCTCTTCAGCAATGGGAAGTTTCAGTCTTGCCTTCTCGTAACTGTCTGCAATAATCAACTCTTGATGTTATAAATCTCACAACAAGCATTTAGGGAAATAAGGTTATTCTACTTACCATACCATCCAAGAGAAGTGAACGGTAACTCCGTCCAGCCTAGCTCTGGTAGCTTGCCTTCTATGGTCAATGCTTTAAGTTTCTTGCTTGTTGTCTTATTGGGCCAAAAACAAACGGAGCCTTTCACCCAGTTTGCATGGACAACAGCGACAGAGTCATCCTTAAGAAAATGGAACACCCCAAACTTTTTGCCATCTGGTTGAAAAAAGAATGGAAATAACAGTCAACTAACGAGCACCACTTGAACCTATGAGAAAAAGAAATGAGATGGAGGGAAACATTACTGCAGATGAACCAGAGGAAAAATCGCATGTTTCCCTTTGAAAGGAATTCGAACACATTTCTGGACAATGCTCGAGAGTGGCCACGAGCTGGTGCCGGAGAGGTCAGAGGCAAGAACGATGCCGAGCATAGATGAAGCACAGGGGTAAGTATACAGGTCAGCTGTTTCCCTGAACTGCTTGCCAATCACTTGTGCCTGGCCAGACGCTGAGCAAAAAGCAAAGTTTTGAATTCTAATGATGGTTCCATCAGCTAAGATGCAAGTGTTGTCATTCATGCGTGTCCTGAGGCAGAATTTGTGGGGGAGATTGACAGCTTTGTACTGAGGGTTAACACAGTCAGGAGGCAGTGGCCCATTATCATGTGGGAGGAAAAAATGCCTTTCACTGTTGAGATCCTTTGGTGTTGAAACACCTCGGCGCTCCATGACACGGTTGTGCAGCTGCTCTAACGGCTTCTCGGGCTTCCTCTGGAGATCTTTCAGTGATCCCATAAAATTCTCAAAAGGGAATGCACTCCATGATTGCAATGGCCCATGAACTCTCACATCATTGGCCAAGTGGATGAGATTGTGCACATTATGTGATACTCCATCCTTCCCATACAGAAACATGTATGTTTCGACAAAATGGACCAGCAACTTTTCAGCGTAGTCCACGAACTCCCGGCAGTACCTAGGACTGCTGAGAATTGTGATTGCAGAGTGCAGAACCATGAAGTTAAAAAAGTATGGCTCAGGAACCCTTGCGCAAAGCACAACTGGGCCTGTGTACAGCACGAGCAGTCGAAACTCCGTTGCCTTCCAGCGGTCCAAGTCTAGAAGACTTCTGGGCTTTCGAGCAAAGTCTGAGCAGATATGGCACTGAATTTCAAGGTTAGCCAAAGAAATTGCATCTCGTACTGCTGTTCCCAGGCGATACCTGTTGCTTCCCTTAAGCCATAATCTCAGTAGCTTGTGGACGACACCTAAGCACACAAGATGCATAAAGTCCAGAGGAACTTGCATGACCAAATCAATGGGAAGCTTTTTCAGCTCTGTTCCCTTGACATGATGTTCTTCTTGAGCACAATCTCGAAAACTTTTATCTGTTCTGAGCTTTGCATCAAGCTGGGGAAAGCACATCCTGCCGTTGATGAATTCCCCCTCCGTCTCACACTTGGTGCAGCTAAAATAGCCATTGTGTCCTTTGATGCCAAGGACATACGATTTTGCAGGAGCGTCACAGACCAATCCTGCGAGCTCTACTCGTACATGTTTTCCCTGCAGCACAACACCTTCGCTTAGTACTTGGTTGATATCTAACACAGCAGGCCGAAGGAAAGCCTCTGAACACACTGCTTTGGACTTTCCGTAGACATCGCATTTCCCCCAGTTCTTCACCTGGCACAGGATGGGCCAAAACTGGTCACGTGTGCTTTTCGTAAGGGGCAGGCCATCAATGTTAACATTGATGGTAATGATGTCTGGTATGTCACGTGCATGCTTCAGAGTGTCTTCCAACCCTGCTTCCAAGCCGAAGTGGCAGTACTTTCCTGTTCCCATGACCACTACAACTGCCTTCCTAGGTGTTTTAAGAAGCGACCTTGCACTCCCAGGGAGAGAAGCGAAGCAAGAATGCGAGCGCAAAATTTTGAGCAGCTCGTTAAGGGAGCGATGAGACACAGCTGTGTCAATGGCCCAGCCTCTGACTTGCTGCTCAATCGGCCCACGTGCATTGACCACGTAGCCTTGATGCTCGGAAGTGCCTGAACCATCGTGGCGCACAGATGCAGCCACCTGATAATCGGAATGTAGGTCCTCAATTGCGTTCTGTGAACTCGCATACCCATCTAATGAGTGATCTTGCTCTGGCGGAAATCCGCTGGGTATATAATCCTCCCTGGCTTCGGGAACTTCCCGTTCCGCTTCTTGTGCCATATAAATGTTTTGGTCTCCTTCCACGACTACGTCACCAACATCACCCAACAAAATACCGCACAAGTCTACGCGAGCTGCTTTACTAGCGCGTTTATAAAACGTGGCTTTTGGACGCTTATGCATTTTAAAACAGGCGCGTAGTTCACACGTTCAAGGAGTTGCCGCCATCAATTGAAGTTGGACGTATGATAGTCCTAACACAAGCGCTCCTAAAGCGGAAACATTCTATTTGATAGGATTGAAAATAAGCTTCGCACTGCACGGAAATGATTGAACATAAACGATTACCTTCCATTTCCATGTCGCTGCTCCTCTTGATAGCAAACCCGTTGTAGTACCTACAAGGCCTCCCTAAAAAAAACTCCGCGAAACAGCTATAAAAAAAAAAAGAGGGAAAAGTTCCGATTGGATTGGATTGGATCGTGGCTTTCGAACCGAATGACTTGTGGTGGCTATCGACAAGGTTGCCAGGATTCCAAGCCCCTCAATTCAGTTTATATAAATACAAATTTCGTAAACACACACACACACACATATATATATATATATATTTTTTTTTTTTTTTTAATATTGTATAAATTTTTTTTTTTCTTTATATCGTTGCAGGGTCTTGTCGCCCCTTTACTTTCTTTTTCTTTTGAGGAACGGGGAGGAGAGCGTGGGAGGGAGAGGGAAGGATAATTCTCCTCCCCCCTTTCCAAGAGCGGTGCGTCGGCGCAACGTTGGTCGGCGCGTCTCAGCTCGGATGCGCGTGGAGCGAAAACGATCGTGCTGCAGAACCCTGGATTCAGTCGTCCAAGACCAATTTCGATCTCGATGAGCCTGGATGAGCTTCGAACGCGTCGCCAAACTCTGGCAAAATAAGGTCTAAGATGGCTTCTTTTGTGTCAAAGTTAATTTCTATATCAAGATGCCTTTTCAAAGTATACCTACCGGTAAAGCAAATAAAAAGTCAGTCTCATCCCCCAATCGTCCCGTTGAGGTAGATTTCAGGATTGTCCACATTATGTTGTCCCAAATATATACTAGGGATAACTGCAATGGGATATGGGACGTGAAGACCACATAGGGACTTTTTTGGGACATCCCAGGGATTTTGTGTGTTGTCTGGGGACATATCTTGTTCTGTCATGGAAACTGAACAAAGACTTGCTCCTTGGGATGACCTAACTATAACATGCGACCTCTCTTTGACAAAATACAACAAGAAAGTGGCCGCCGCTAGTGTTATAAAAGAAGAATTTTTTTAGATTGCTAGTCTTTACGAGACGGACAAAAGTTTTTTTACTGATGGGACGAAAGGTCTGGCTACGCTGGCTGCGCTGCGGTTGGGTAGTCTTACCAACGTGTTATCCGAATTAATGCCAATGCATCTGTGTTTACAGCTGAGCTTCATGGACTCTTAGTGATTGTAGATGAAATAATCAAACAAAAATACAGATTATCTGACATTTACAGACTCGCTCAGTTCCCTCCTTGCCCTTAACTCTGCAAGATCCTGGAAGCATCCCCTGGTTTGTCTGTTTCGTGTTAAATTAATGAATGCTATAAAGCAAAACATCACTATTCACTTTTGCTGGGTTCCTAGCCTTATAGGAATACACGGCAATGAGGAAGCCGACCGAGCCACTCCAAATTCATTCATTCAGGGATGATTACTTTGTTTCCCCATGTGAGGCAATCACAATCTACAGAGAGCTCATCTTTACGCAGAAAAAATTGTGCCAGCTTGTCGTCCGACAATTTGGCAGGCCATCCGTTCAATACAAAAAACAATACTTTCGACAAGATAGCGTCTTTTCGCGTTTCTGTGCGAATCTTATCTGCTGGCAAAGGAATTCCCTGCACTGCTGAGAAGAACTGCACCGTTCTGCGTCGTTTGGAAGCGGCAATCGCGATAGCGCGTCACCGTTTGCGACGTGCGCTCTTTTTCTGTATACCCATTTGTAGCCTTAAGCGGCGAGCAGTAGCATCCACCGTTGCATGCGCGCGGCGGCCATTTGTGGTATGGGCTTCGTGGGGCCAAGCAGGCCCACTAGCGGAAGATGGTCGGAATAAATCGTAAATTCCCTTCCATAGAGGTACTTGTGAAATCGTTTTACTCCGAAGATAATCGAGACCGCTTCCTTCTCTATATGTGCGTACGAACTTTCAGCTTTACTCAGGGTGCGCGATGCGTACGCGATTGACTTTTCCTCTCCGTTTATTACGTGAAACAAAACCGCTCCTACCCCGTACGGGGAGGCATCGCATACAATCCCCAGCGGTTTCGCCGGCTCGTAGAAGGTCAACACACTGTCCTGAGTCAGCAACGTCTTGCTTTCGTTGAACGCTCTTTCGGCTTGCTCAGACCACAGCCATTTCTTATTTTTCTGAGTTCGTACAATGGCGAGCATCGAAGACATGTTTGGCATAAATCTTGAGTAGAAAGTTAACATTCCTAAGTAGGCTTTTAGCTCAGAGCTGTTCTTTGGTGCAGGCGCTTTTTTTATCGCTTCGATCTTTTCTGCGCATGGGTGCCCTCCTCTTTCATCAATTACATGGCCTAAATATCTTACTGATGGTGCGAAAAACGTGCATTTTTTCTCTTCTCACCCGTACGCCATGCTTCATGAACTTCTTCAGGACTGCTTCCATTCGATCCCGGCATTCCTGGTAGGTTGCCCCGGTGATGAGTACATCGTCGAGATAGCAGACCACGCCCGGTAGCCCCTTCAGTAGTTCGTCCATGATTGCCTGAAACACTGCAGGGGCACTTGAAATTCCATAGGGCATTCGGACGTACTGCTATAACCCCATATGGGTGTTCACCGTCAGTAAAGGCCGCGACTCGGGGTGCAGTTCTATTTGTTGGTATGCTGTCAAAAGATCCAACACTGTGAATACCTTCCCTCCGGCTAGTACTGTAATTAAGTCTTCGACAGTCGGGAGAGGGTAGTGATCAGTCTTTGTGCATGGATTTACTGTCACTTTATAATCCCCGCATAATATGACCTTGTTGTCTGGCTTAGGAACAACCACCAATGGTGTGGCCCAGTCGCTCTGCGTGACGGATACCAAAACGCCGTCAGCTACTAACTTGTTTAACTCAAGTTTCACCGCCCCCGCAGGGGGCACATGTGAAAGCAGGCGTTTGGAGAGTGGCGTCTCCACGGACCCCGAGCCGTGCGGGTTCGCCCGCTCACGTCTGGCTGTGCGTGGCTTTCCCGTGTCCGGGGAAAGGGCATCCTAGTGATTGAGTCGAACCCGGGGTAGGTTTGGACCCTTCGGGGCACCCCGGGTGAGGCAATACACCACTTCGGGCCCCGCTTCCCGTAGACGGGTGTCCTGGCTTGGCCCGACCAGGATGATTCAGTCAGTCGCCATTTCTTCTACTATCCCCTCTTTTCTTTCTCTTTCCTTCTTTCTCCTATTCTTCGTTTTCACCTTCTTTGGCGGCAAGGGCTAACCTTGGGTGGCGACAGAACACTCTCTTGAACCACACTTGGTTATAGTTTCCTAGTAGCACTGGTAGAGTAACATACTCAGACAACCCAGACCTGTTATGAGATGTTACCTATCCCCTTGTTGGACTCCGCGGTGGGTGGTGCGCTACGGATGCCGAAGTTTCTGCCCTTCATATGGGTTCCAAGCAAAAAACCTCCCCCGATCGAACCCTGAAAAGGGTCCGGACCGAAGTATTTAGCAAAGAGACATCAGCTGCTGCCCAGAATAGCTTCAGCCGCTTTCTGGTAATGCACTCAGAAAATGGAAAACCACTTGCCAAACTTTCACCATTTCTTATTTCAAAGACTTTAGAAAACCTAATTGGTAAAAACTTCAAAGCAAAGAAACTAGCATCTGGCGACTTGCTCGTTGAGGTGGAAAACGGAGTGCAAAGTGTTGTTCTTTTAGACTTAAACAAGATCTCGGACTACAAAGTATCTGTCACCCCACATCGCACCTTGAACAGCTGCCAGGGCGTCATCTCAGAGGCCGACCTGCTGGAGTCTAGCGAAGAGAAGATCTTGGAGGGCCTTTCCGGGCAGGGTTTGGTCGCCGTGCGACGCATCTTCATACGCAGAGACGGACAGGAGAGACCATCGAAGCACTTAGTCCTCACTTTTGCTCCCACTGTGCTGCCCGAGAACATCAAGGCAGGCTATTTTCACTGCAAGGTGCGCCCCTACATACCAAACCCGAGACGATGTTTCAAATGCCAACGATTTGGTCACAGCTCTGCTACCTGTCGTGGGAAAACGACATGTGCAAAGTGTGGAGCTACGGACCATCCAGCTGACACATGCGAAGGTACACTTCTCAAGTGTGTCAACTGCTCTGGTGCCCACCCCACTTACTATCGAGCCTGCCCAAAGTTTCAGAAAGAAAAGAAAATCCTAACACTAAAAATCAAAGAAAAGCTCACGTACCCTGAGGCAAGGAAGCAATTTTCCTTCCTCCAAGGAGGCACCTATGCCGAGGCGGCTGCCAGGGGGGCAGCGCCGCCACTAAAGGCAGCGGTGGGCACTCAGTACAGTCTTCGCGACTTGGAGTGCTCACCCAGCCCCCCAACCACCAGCGAGGCCTCTGTGGGTTCTCAGACCCCAGCGGCCCTGCCCAAAGCCCCACGTGCCATAACGGTTCCCCATCGTCCTGGCCCTAAGCCCCGAGTGGTGCTTGACACCACTCCCTCTCAGAGCAGCGAGGGGCCCACTCCTTCTACTTCACAGCGGGAGGAGGAGGCCATGGAGGTATCTGTCGATCCGACAGAACCACCTCCACCCGCTAAGGGAGGTACAAAGCATACCCCCGAAAAGGGGGACCAAAAGAAAAAACCTCCTCGAGTCACTGCCCCGAGTGTACCATAGCTTGTGTCCACTCACAGCTGTGAAACCCACAATTTTAACTATAATTTAATTAATCTGTGATGAGTCATTTTAGTTTCATGCAGTGGAACTGTCGGGATCTCCTTCATAATAGCGATGATGTTCACTTTTTACTAAATGAGCTACGCCCAATAGCTTTAGCATTACAGGAGACCTATTTGACGTCCACACATACCCAAGTTTTACGAAACTATCACCTCTTCCGGAAAGACCGCCCATCTCCTCATTCATCCGGTGGTGTTGCCGTTGTTGTGCAGAGTGGAGTGGCATGTGGCCAAGTCCCCCTTGACACGCCCCTTGAGGCTGTGGCAGCACGAGTTCTTACGGACCGCCTCATTACTGTTGTCTCACTGTACCTTCTACCACACACCCCCGTACATATTCATGACCTCCAGAAGCTTTTAACCCAACTTCCACAGCCTTTTTTAATCTTAGGTGATTTTAATGCTCATCACACCATGTGGGGCAGCGCACGAGTTGATTCCCGCGGAAAAGTGATTGAACGGTTTTTATTGTCTTCAAATTTATGTCTTTTACATAACAAAGCCCCAACCTTTTTAGTGCTGCACACAACTCTTTCACCTGCATTGATTTATCTATTTTATCACCATCATTGCTTCCTTGCTTTTCTTGGAAG